TTAGCAGAAATAAAATAGGATTTCCTACCACATCAGACAACAAAACAGGCCTCTTGTAACAAGTTGGGCTTATAGTCCTGGCATCAGATCTAATGAAGCATTATACTTACCTCATGGCTCAACAAAATGTTGTGCTTGGCCTCCCTATAATTCCCAAGCAATATCTAGGGACCTAATGAATAATGCAGGTTTATTCCATAATTCCCAAGAATTTAATGAGTAACTGGGGTTAATCCATGATCTGTCATGATCCAAACCTAGCCACAGGCAAAGAATCTCCTATAAAGGCCGGTGTGAGAACTGGTGAGTTTTGACAAGCAAGAGCTCAACTGGGTCTACATTCAGCACTTTATAAAACCACGAAGCAGCCCTGGTCAGCAGCATTGGCCTGTAGACCGAAGGGTCGCAGGTTTGATCTTTGGCCCCAGTTGGAGTCATGCAGGAGGCAACCAACTGATGTGCCTCTCTTTGATTTCTCTCTTTTTCTCCCTTCTTTCTACTCTATCAATGAAGAAGTATCCTTATGTGAGAATTAACAACAAAAATTATGTGAAGCAGAAACCACCCATGCTTAATTGCCACAAAGAGGACAATAACTCAGTTTCTCTAGTACAGTCATTCCTTGGTATTCTCAGGTGACTGGTTCCAGGAGCCCCCGCCTAACCCACTACCACTGTGGATGGCTCAAGTCCCTAGATTACTTATAGTACCGAATACAATGAAATGCTATATAAATAGTTGTCATACTGTATCGCCTGCACTGTTTAGGAAACAACGACGAGAAGTCTGTATGTGTTGAGTACAGATGCAATAGTAGGCCTAACTATATAGTACATGTCCCCAACAACATAACGTTTTTGATCAGAGACTGATTGAACCTATGGATACGCAGTGCCAACTGTATGACACTCTCACTCAGTCTCTCTCTTTTGCACATCTGTAAAATGATGCCCACACTACCCAGCTGTGGAACTGATTGTGAGACTACTGGGTCTTTGCTTTAAGAGTAGTGTGAAGAAAACGACAATAAAACAAAAAAGCAACCAACCAAATGGGATGTGCTATTTGCAAACAACAGCTCTGAGAGGTTAATACCCAAAATATGTAAAGAATTCATAAAACTCAACACTAAACAAATAAACAATCCAATTAAAAAATGGGCAGCTGGAGTGCCTCAGTTGGTTGAGCTTTGTCCCATGCACCAAGAGGTCTCTGGTTCGATTTTTGGTCAGGGCACATGCCTGGGTTCTGGGCTCGATCCCTAGTAGAGATTGTGCAGGAGGCAGCCAAATGACTTTTCTCTCTCATCCATGTTTCTCTCTCTCTCCCTTCCTCTCTCTGAAATGAATAAAAATATATTTTTAAAAATAGTTAAACAGGCACCTGCCTGAAGCCCTCTTAAAACAGAGGGCAGAGGACCCTTCTTCTCCCAAGAAGACATACAAATGGCCAACAGATATATGAAAGGATGTTCAACCTCACTAGCTACCAGGAAAATGCAAACCAAAACTACAATGAGATACCACTTCACACCTGTCTGACAAGTAATAACAAGTGTTGGAGAGGTGGAGAAAAGGAAACCCTCATTTACTACTGATGGGTAGGTAGAATGGTACAGCCACTATGGAAAAGTCTGGTGGTTCCTCAAAAAATTAAGAATAGCCCTGGCCAGGTGGCTTGGTTGGTTGGTGTGTTGTCCTGTACACCAAAGGTTTCTGGTTTGATTCCTAGTCTGGGCGCATATGAGAGGCAACCAATCGATGTTTTCTTCTCTCTCTAAAATCAGTTAAAACATATCCTTTGGGTGACAAAAGAATATTTAAGAAAATAATTACAATATAACCCAGCAATTCTTCTTTCCTGGGTATCTACCCAAAAAATTCAAAAACATTTATTAGCAAAGATATATGCACCCCCATGTTCATTGTAGCATGATTCACGATGGCCAAGACATGGAGACAACCAAAGTGTCTTTCAATAGAGGACTGGAATACTGCTCAGCCATAAGACTAAATAATGCCATTTGTGACAACATGGATGGACCTTGAAGATATTATGCTAAGCAAAACAAGTCAGTCAGGAAAAGCTAAGAACCATATGATTTCCCTCATATATGGGATATAAAACTGAAACAGACAATAGTATGGTAGATACCAGAGGGAAAAGTGTGTGTGTGTGGGTGGAGGGGGGTGAAAAGAGAGCCAAACATTTGGTGACTGAAGATGATTATGACTTTGGGTGGTGAACACATAATGCAATATACAGACCATGTCGCATAGAAATGCACACTTGAAATAAGCTAGTCTTATTAACCAGTGTCACCCCAATATATTTAATTAAAAAAAAAAAAAAACCAGTGTGAAAGAAGTCCAGACCATCTTGGGACTAGAAAAATAGGAAAAACAGACCTAAGAGCAGTAGTGGGTTTGCTATGATAGGCTCCTAAAGGGCAAATGTTTAACTGATATGTGACCATGGCTTTAGGCTAATTTCAAAGCTGGGGATTAAAGACACACACGCACACAGACACACAGAGTTATTTCCAGGTATTCATATTACACAGTAGAGGTTTTAAATAATGCCTCCTATACAAGATGTCTCAAAAGTCTTGGGGAAGTTTTAAATTATTAGGGGCTGAGGATGGGAGTGATGGGTTGAACCCACCCTCTGCTAGTTAAACAGGGTTAGTTACAGATGGCCTTGATTATCATCAGTTAAATGTGCAGACAAGATTAAAAGAGACATTTTAAAGGATTAATTAGTGAACCCTCAAAAGAGTAAATTAAGGACCTGTGTTGAAACAGCCAAAAGGAAACTAATCCACATCGTAGTAATAGTGGCTTGGAGTATATTCAAATGGAAAAGCTTGGGCTGGAAATACTTGTTTAGAAAAAGAACTACACATCACTCCACCCTCACTCCTTCATCAAGTAATCCAAACCATTTTAAGTGCTCAAAGTCTGACCAAGCAAGATGTATTTCATTAAAACCTCTTTCAGCTTGAACTAGATCAAATCCTTGGGAATAAACAAATTTTATTCAATGAACAAGTAGAAGGGATTCTTGATTACTACTATAGTTCTTTTGTGTAGAATGCTTCTAAAGTTAATGTAAAAAGCTCAGAAAAGGACATCAGATACAAGTAAAAGGCTTTATTATTCAGGATTAGCTCAAAGACTGACATTGACACAAACAGGGATAATTATCTCATTACATTTGACCTTTGGCACCCATTTAAAGTACTAGTTTTCCAAGTGAGACATGTTATACCCAGCAGCTTCTCAGCAGCTTCTGATAGTCACATTTACCCTAATTTCACTCAGTAGAGCTGTCAGGAGATGTGCAGGAATACAAAGAACAAAATCATCTACTTTAGTTATCCTTTTCTTTTTAAAGGATTATTTTCCCTACTGGCTTTCAAATCAAGAGAAAGATAGCATTATTGGCAAGCACTGATCATAAATAACACTTTCCAATAGTCTAACACTCAAAAATCAAAAACCAAATATATGTAGAGTTCCTAAATATTGTTAACACTATGGTGTGCTTTGTTTTGAAATTTTATGTCTTCCTTTTATTTATTTTTTTCCTTGGATAAAACCAGGTGAACCTTTGCAGCCCTGGTTGTTACAAGCTTAACTTAAAAGAATCAAAGGAATTAAAGAGTAATCATTAAGAATAGACTTGAAAATTATCACACAAATATATGAATAAAGTCTCCACAGTCCACATATATGTATAAAATGAATCAAGTTTCATGATTGGAAGGGTACTCCCTTCCAAGGACATAGAGCACAGAAAATACATGAAGCTTGTTTCTATGTTATAATGGGGGAAAATATAAAACAACAGTTCATCTCAAGCTGATCGATACGTAACTGTTGATTAAGGGAAGGGGTGTTCAAGATATTTTGCACATTATAACTTAGAGTTAGTCTATATACTCTATATTAAATATCTACAAAAAAATCCCGCAACTTTTTGGCTCAGGGCTATACTAGAAGGCCATTGCTTTTTATGTATAGAAAAAGAATCCAAAAAAGCAAGTTAAAGCCAGTATTTATTTTTGAGGTTCTGGATTTTCTGCTCAGTTATCTTCTTTTATAAAAATATCAATAAGAAATCATTATTTTTTCTTAAAATCTGAGTACTTATTACTATTTTTTAAAGTTGCAGCACCTGGAGAACTGAGGACTGAATTCAGACCACAGCTTCAGTGTATGACTGAGTTTATAAACATCTCCTCTAGTAAATGGCAAAAATCACAACCTCTTACAGAACATGATGTTGAGCTGATAACATAGTAGATTGCTTAGCAAAAATATGAGGAGCTTAAATCTCATGTGGGAGATATATATATTGGGGAAAAAAAACAAATAAGGGTTTCTAGTGTTATTCTCCAAAGAGTTGCCTGTTTTTGAAATAAAGATTTTAACTATAGGGACTGTGTCAATGAATCACTTGCTAAATCAATATAAATGTACTTATTTGAACATCACATTTTTACACATACTTAAAAAAAAGAAACAACCAAAAGAAGTATAGTGAAAAGATTATATATTTTAAATGCAAATATATTTGTTTGAGGCAGCACAGATCCAAGGGTCTTCAACAGAAGACTTCTTTAGCAATTGGCCTTCACAGACAGGTCTCCTGCTATGGCCAGCAGATACTTGACACTGTGCATAGAAAGTCTCAGAGTAACAAAAGACAAGTCTTGTTTTACCCCCTCTATAATCTGGGATGTCATTATTGTAGAGAAGATGCATAATTAAAAAAGTGAAGACTACTTACTGAAAATGTTTACTTTATGAAATTTAAACACAACATTCATCCTGAGGATGCTGGATCTACACTATGGTAATATAACCAGACTAGGTAAATTTCAGTTGAAAAGACTGTCTCTAAAAATGAAAAAATGGTAGCTTTCTTAAAGATCAGAGTTACAGAATCACTCTGTTGTATTTTTATCTTGTTTTAATGGGCCAAAGTTAACTTACTCAGATTAGGATCTATAATTCTGTTGACTGTTCAGGACTACAGTAGTCATCTTGGGACTTTCTATGGAAGTATGTACAAATTTTCCTCATGGAGCTGGGAGTAATAGTGACCTAGAAGAAGAAAATTTAGATTTCAGACATTTTTTTAAGATAAAGTCTAGCTGTTACCCAAGCAAGTCATCACTTACAGGTATTTCAAGTCAGGATGCCTAGAAATTTGATTAGCCAGCGTTTAGTCTCAAATACTTTGATGACAATGTCTCTTTTGGTTGATATGTACTGAATATAGTAAAAATTTAATAGAGAGTATGTAAGGAAGGAAGGCAGGGACTTTTCATGTGAACAGAAAATATTTACCAGTTAAACCATTTAATCGGAACCAAAGAGGTTAAAATTACCATCCTCTTTGAAATGAGCAAATTATCCTCCCAAATTTACAAACAAGACAGGTATTCAAATGGCAGCTGCTACCCTCTTTTGTAGAAGTTTACATTATTGTCATGTACATAAAGAAAAACTCTTTTAAAGAAACTAGCTTCAAAGGTTGAAAAAATAAAACCAGTGTTAAAGAGAGACAACTGGCCCAAAATGTAGGCCCAACATGTCCTAAACTCCACCCCAGCAAACTAAGACTAGCAGTATATAACCTATTTGCAGTTTCAGCCTCTCCCAGGAATGTAACTTTAACCAGTCAATCTGGAATTTCCTAATCAATACCAGTGAGGTAATCTGCTTGATAGACCCCCTGCCTTCCCCTAAGGAAGTGTCCTTGCCTGAAATAATTCATTCTTTCAATTTTTCTTTTTCTCCCGCTTTCTGTCCTTAAAAGCCTTACATTTTGTAAGATCTTCAGGCCTCCTTTCTATTTGCTAGATGGGATGCTGCTTGATTCATACATGTTGAATTTTGTTGTTTCAACACCAAAAGTTTCTTGAACCAAACATACTCTTTTTTTAAATCCTCACCTGAGGATATTTTTCTGTTTATCTTCGGATAGAATGGGAAGGGAGAGAGAAACATCCATGTGAGAGGAATACATCGGGACACATCAACTGGTTGCCTCCCGCATGACTCCAGCTAGGGGCTGGGGACGAACTGCAAGGGAGATGTGTGCCCCTGGACTGGAATCGAACCTGTGACTCATTGGTCTGTGGGCCGACGCTCTAACTGCTGAGCCAAACCGGCCAGGGCCAACATACTCTCTTAAAAAACCTTTAAGATCTACACATTAATGAAAAAAAATTTTTCATTGTAATTGCTTTCCTGGCTAACACATAGCTGAGACCAGCTCGCCTGAAAAAAAATTTTTTGGCTAGAGCAGATACAGTGACAATATTGAAAGAAAAGAAAGCCTCCTTATAGCTTAAAAAAAAAAAAAAGGGCCCTGGCCAGTTTGGCTCGGCTGTCAGAGCATCAGCCCGCGGTCCAGAGAGACCTGCGTTCAGTTCCTGCTAAGGGCATGTGTACCTCAGTTGCAGTTTGTGCAGGAGGCAGCCACTCGATGTGTCCCTTTCATGTCGATGTGTCTTTCTCTCTCTCCCTCCTTCCCACTCTATCTGAACAAAAATGTCCTTGGGTGAGGATAAAAAAATAAATAAATAAAAAGTTCTGTAGCAAACTCTTAGTTGGAGTTTATTCCTAAAATTATGGGATGGGCTTCATGACAATAGATGGGTGATATCAACATTTATTGAACTGGCCTATGGTTATCCAGCTTCTACCTTTTAAAAAGGTAGATGTAGCCCGGTCAGGTGGCTCAGTTGATTGGAGCATCGTCCCCTACACCAAAAAGTTTGTGGGTTCCATTCCTGGTCAGGGTACATACCGAAATTGCAGGTTTGAGCTCTGGTAGGGGCACTTACACAACATCCCCAACCCCCACATTACTCTCTTTCTCAGACAGACAGACATATCCTTGGGTGAAGATAATAAGTAAATAAGTAAATAAATAAGTAGGCATATGTTGCTGATCATGGTTCCAGGATTGGATTTTAATAATTCTACCATCTCTTCCTTAACAGAGAGCAAGAGTGACTATGAACTACAGCAGAAACTTCCTAACCCACCTCCCCTTCATTTACAAACTGATTAACAGAAACTTTATTCCCTTTGACTGGTGCTCATAGCTAACCTAATGTTCACAGCTACTTCTGCCTCCACCGTTATGAGTCACTTGCTTTTTAAGGCTCACAAATCTATTTCTGCCAGCAGTATCTGTTTTTAAAATGATCTATCTTAAATAGTATATTCACCAATAAAATATGAGCCCTAAAATGATAAGTAAAACTAAGCTGAATGTTTAAAAAGATACAGATACAAGTGAGTTGTCAAAAAACTGGTGTGAGCAAGATGACTGTAAACAGATTGGGGATAATCATTAAAACCTGTAATTCTAGACTACTTTGCAGATATCTAAGTTTCATTTTATTTTAAATAATCATAAAGTGTAATTACAAACTGGTCATCTATTTATGGATGTTGACAACCTGCCCATGAATGCCAGCTTTATCTGTAAAAAAGGGAGGGAGTCTATAAAAAGGGGTTGCCTAGGGCTTGGGGGTGGGCAGGAAACAATGTCACACAAAGAGGAGGGAAGATATTTTTGAATTGATATTCTAAAGGATGAGGAAGTTTTTAATTTTTGTCTAGAGAGAGTGGAAGAAAAGGAGGGAGGGGGAGAAAGAGAAACATCAAGATGCGAGAAACACATCAACTGGTTGCCTCCCAAACACGCCCAGACCAGGGCCAGAGATTAAACTTGTAACCCAGGTATGTGCCCTTCACCGGGAAATTGAACCAGAGACCCTTTGGAGTGTGGACTGATGCTCTAACCACAGATCTACACTGGCCTGGGCAGATGAGGAGGCTTTGATGAATCAGGCAACAGGGCTGAGGGGTATAGACCCTGACAGAAGTGATCTTAATGGGAGTAAATAGGTTTGCCAGATAAAAACACAGCACACACCCAGTTACATTTGAATTTCAAGCAAACAGCAAATAACTTTTTAGTATAAACACTATTTAGTATAAATATGTCCCATACAATATTTGTACTATATTTTTATATGCGAAGTCTGGCAACCCTAAAATAAATAAAATAGGTTTACTTAAAAAATAAAAATAAAAAAGGCATCCTGACTTCTGAGAAAGGATCTATACCTGCCTCTTTCAAGTTAGGAAATGCATCTTCCCACCACTGCTGACTTACCGGGCCTGGAGAAGTCTTTCCACTCTGTCTCCTGGAATTGGGGGTCTGGGATGATGGACTTCGTGGTGATGAATTCTCAGCCTTCCGTTTGGCTGCCATGGCCAATAACCAGTTTTTATTCTCTGGGGAGCTATTCTCTTTGCCTACCAATTCAGACCCTTCTCCACAAGATCCCAAAGGAAGAGGTAGTGTCCCACAGCCTTCTGAAGCATAAGGACTGGCAGGAGAAGGAGGCTCTGAGACACTCATACTGGCTCCTTCAATCTTGCTTGATTTGGTAGGACCTAGAGAGTCCTTACCAAGGTCTTCCTGGTTACCAGTAAGGCAGCACAGATCCAAATGAAGCTTTTCAACTGGGTCATCAAGCTCAGTCACACAGCTGCAACTCTTCACACACTTTTGTTTCACATTCTCCAGACAACTTGAGTCTAGCCTCCTCTTTACTCTATTTCTAGACTCAGAGCAAGCTACTGCTTGGGATGATTTCAGGCTCACAGGAATAAGGGCTTTTCTTGGTGATGTGATCTTGGTCTCAGAAGCAGGTGGAGTGATGGGTGGTGATGAGGAAGGTGTTCGGGTCATCCAATTTCTAATGGACATCTTGAAAGATGAGGGTGGCTTGGGAGAAATAGAGGAGATGGAGCCTCTTCTGCTAATGGGAGACCGGGCCTTGGCAGGAGGGGTTTTAATAGAAAATGTGGGAGTATTTGAAGGAAGAGGGAGGTCTCCAGCACAGCTCGGAGCACAAGCTGCTGAGGAAGGGGAGGAACTAGATGGACTGCTCTTTACTCTGGGGGCTTTGGCAGGAGTACTCTGGCTACTTGTCACTGTTACTGAAAAAGAAAAGAGGGTCACAAAAATCAGAAGTGAAAGCCAATACAGCCCTGAATTTTCATCAAGAAAAATTAGCTAACTTAATCTTCTAGGGGTTGATTTCCCAATGAGTTAATCACATAAATCATTTGATTCTTGCCACATCCTCTTAGCACTTTCCTTCCCTTTTCCTAACTGCAAGCCTCCCAACGACCACACTGTAAAACATGTACTTGTTAGATCTATAAAATTCAGGAAAAAGGGAAAAGATAAAAAAATTTAGGTGAGCCACTTTTAGTGTTTTTTCCCTATACTTGTGCAACTAATATATATTATATACTTCAAATTTTTTCTATATAAAAATGAGACTAATGTATATACATACTATTTAGTAACCTGTTTCTTAACATATTATGAACATTTCCCACATTAATATATTTATATTATAATTTTTAATAGCTACAAAGTAATCTAAGGTAACTTTAAAACATTTAGTTTGTTAATGATATTTTGTCTTCATAAGTAAAGCTGCCATTAACAATCCTGTATATATTTCTGAGCAATGCTAGGGCAAAGAGCACTACACAGTGGCTTTCAAACAGGAGCGCACAGGTTTAAAATAATTTACTATGTGACTTGAGCACAACCCTTTACCTCCTCTGCCTCAGTTGCCTTATTTGTTAAATAAAGTTTTGTTTTAATTTAAAAAATTTATTGATTTTAGAGACAGAGAGGGGAAGAGAAGAAGGGGGAATAAAGAGAGAGATTGACACACATTGATTTATTGATTTATTTATGCATTCATTGGTTGATTCTTGTGTGTGTCCTGACTGGGAGAACCTGCAACCTTGGCATATGGGGATGATGCTCTAACCAACTGAGCTAACCCACCAGGGCTAGAGATAGTTTTTAATCTTCACAAGAATTCCATCAATTACTTAAGGTTATCAGGCCTCATGTGGTTTTCCACCCTAATTTACACATGACTACAATATTCCACAAGCCAAAGTATGCCAAAGAACATTTCAGAAACTCAATGCTTGCTCTCTGTAAAGCAAATTAAATAGCGGATACAACTATTCTCTATGTGTCCTGCCCCTTGTTTATAGGCAATGGCAAGTACTCCAGGCAAATTCTTATAAACTTCATGTTTCTTCCTCCCTCAGGCCCCACCACAGACAACACAATATTTTACTTATTTTCTGAACTTTCTAGATTTTTGGAGTAGTGTTTCTGTCTTCAAATAACAAGGAAAAGGCTTCTATGTCTCAGTCACAAAGTCCTTAAAGTATATATAACTTTGATATTTAATTCCATTTCATTGTTGAAGTGCATTTATATGCAACAAAATTTAGAATGGGATGACATGAAAATACAATCTTTTCGTTGAAATAAAGATTTACTAATTTCAGTCATTTAGTTACCCTGTGCTTTTCACTACTCAAGCAGCCTTGCCTTGAGACAGAGAAATTGAATTTTGCCTAAACTTTAAAAATCAACTATATATTTAGAAATGGCCGAAATGTTACCGCTCCTTCAATAAAGAAATGGGGTTACTAGAAAACCCCATTTTGTCATAGTGTACTATAGAAGGGGAGCTAGAGAAAGGGACCTGTACCTGGAGCATCTGGTAGTAGTTCTCACATTCATGTTCTAAAGTTTGTCAGTTATTATTTCAAAAGAAAAGACACTTTTCATTTACTTCACTCCTCAGTGCAAGCCAACAGTCAACGCACTGCCCCTACACTCATCAGTGCCATTAAAGTGGGTTGAAGTATACTTTTAGGGGAGGAAGTCCTAAAACCGTATGAGTTACAATATGAAGATTCAAAGGCTGGATTAGGGGAGAAGGAAAAGCTGGGCCAAGGGACAAAGCAGGTATATAAGTTTCTGTTACTTGAGTGGCAGACACCCGAAGTGTTTACTAAAGGTTAGTGTGGTAGAAAGTTGGGGCACTTCTTTTTCCTTCAAGATGTTATAATGAAGGAAGGAGTAGACCACAGGGGTCAGAGAGAAGATTTTGTTAACTTTGAAGGTTAACAGAACTTAAAACTCTGGGTCAAATTTAACTCCTTTCTTTTTTCTAACAGTAATTAGATTATAAAGTAATACAAGTTCATGGTGAAAAAAAATTCAGTTACAGAGGGGAATAAGCTGAACAGCAAAAAGCCCTCTTTTCAATGTTCTCATTTCACTTAGATGCATTCCAAAATTTTCTATGTGCTTATTAGCGCACACAAAAGTATATGTATATACCTTAAAAAATACAATGAATTATTAAACACACACATTCTACAATTTGCTCTCTTCTCTGAACAGTGTATCTTTTTCTTCTTTCATGAAAGTACACTTAGATGCACTACATTTTTTTAAACAGCTGGACATTGGCCTACAGATTCAAACATGACATACCATTTACTACTTCATCTACTTAAGTGCATCAACACCTATTAAACTTTAGCACTGCATGAGATCTGATGACACAGTACAGACTGAGTTATTGCTCTAAAGACTTCCTAAAAGTTAGTTCCTTCGAGAAATTATAGAAAGCTTACAAATAATCAATTTGTAGATTCTTTCTACATAAGGGTTTGCCATCTGGCCTCACTCTACCTTTTCAATCTTACCACGTACTATATGCTACTTTAGGATCCTATTACAGGAGACTGACTACTCACTGCTTCCTGAACAAGCTATGCACTGTCACATGTCTGTCTTTATTCATGTGGTTTTCTTGCCAAGCCTGCCCCTTCTTTGCCAGGCAAAAATTCTCATGTTTCCAGGCTCTGATGACAATTGCATAGAATTCACAAACTTCTTTCCTCCTCTCCCATAGGAAAAGCATTTCCAGAGCCTTTTGTTTATATTGCTAGGAATAATGTTTAGAATGTACTACAGCTTTTTTTTTCTTTTTTTTTAAAATCTGCCTCCTTGACTAAACTGTGAGCACCTAGAGGGCAGATGATGATGAGTTAGTCATTTTTGGGTCTAGTGCCTAAAATGTACCTAGCCAGGAATTATTAAACAATGTTTATTAGATTTCATTACTGCTGAGGGATGAGAGTGAGGTTCCAGGCACCAAGAAAAAAAAGTCTGTAAGCATTCTGCTGACTTTTGAGACTGCAGTAAGCACTTGAGATACAACAGGTAAGGTTTCCTTCTCTTCAAGATAAGAATAATTATCTTTGTCACTCAATAAATGCCTAGACTAGAGGTTCTCAATCCTGGCTGCATACCAGACTTACTTCGAGCTTTATAAAAATACAGGTACTTGGCCTCCACCCCAGACCTAGTGAACACTCTCTAGGGATGCTCAAACTTTTAAAAGAGCTCCACAAGTGGTTCTGATGCACAGCCAGGGTGAGAACCATTGGCCTTGTCAGATTTCTGGCTGAAACAGTGAAAGAAGAGTAAGCTGCAGAGCAGGTACTTGGCTGGGAAAAGTAGGGCAGAGGGTCTTGGGATTTAAACCCTTTCAGTTGGTGTGTTAAAAGGGCCAAAAGAGAAGATATGCAGTCTAAGACAATAAGGAAAGTTGGGGTGGCCATTAGAAGCCTGGGAAAGCAGAGAAACATAATTTTCAAGATGGCAGTGTGATCAGCAGCAGCCAATCTGCTGCTGGATGGTGGCTTACAGGTTTAATGGTCAGTGTGCCAGCCTTTGGCACTCATGTCAGGTTGTTCCCTGTAGTGCTCTTCAGAGTAACTCCAGCATCACCCAGAAATGGAGAAATCTAGGTATAATTCCTGGTCTGGTGTTAACTTAGCTTTGCTATGTTGAGTTCTAAAGGCAATGCTGCAGAGTGCTTCAAAGCATATGCACTAGAATCAGACTGCAAGTGTTGAACTCTGGTTCTTCTTCAACTTCACAGCTGCGTAATCTTAGGCAAGCCTAACCTCCTTGAGCTTCAGTTTCAGTTGTCTGGGGAATTAAATGAAATAATCCAAGTAGGTCCTTAAAACAACTGTGCTAGTACTCATGAGTGGCTATATGTTGTTGTCCAAATTTGGTCAATATGTGGAATTTCTTGTGTGACTTGGCTTCCAGAACTAAGAATAATTAATGACACAATAAAAATAAAGTTAAAAGCAGGATATTCTGCACCTAAAGTCTTAAAATGATTGGAGCCATTGACACAGAATTCCACCTCTGGGAATCTATTTTAATGGAAGGGGGACCCTAAATTCAGAAAAAAAATCTCACAGAATATTGGGAACAAAATGTCTAATACAAGAGAATAGTTAGGCAAACTATGGAATACTTACTCAGTGGGCTATTTTACATGTTTTGTTTAAAAAATAACACAGAAGGTGCTTAGGACATCATGTTTAGTAAAAAAAATATCCCCAAGAAATGCAAATGTATATACAATATTACTATAACTGTTAAAAATCTCAATGGATAAAGGAAAAAAATCTGAAAAAAAAGTTAAAATTATGTATGAGTGGTAGAAATACTGATAGCTTTTTCCTCATATGATTCTTCTCTTTTATGTTTTCTAAAACTAGAGAGAGAAAAGTATATAAAGACAAAGTAGCAGATAGATATCCCATGTTCATGGATCAGAAGATTTAACATTATTAACATGATGATACTACCAAAACTGATCCACATACTCAATGAATCAGTATCAAAACCTCAGAGAGCTATTTTGCAAAGAAACTGACAAACTAGTCCTAAAATTTGTATAGAAATGAGAGGCCAAAATAGTAAAAAACAATCTTGAAAAAGAAAATTGGAGATTTAGACTATCCGATTTCAAAACCTACTACAAAGTTACAGTAATCAAGACAACATGGTACCGGCATAAGAACAGACATATAGACCAATGGCAATAGAACTGAGAGTCCAGAAATAAACCCTTACATTTATAGTTATTTGATTTTTTGGCAAGGATGCCAAAACAATTCAACGGGGTAAAGAACGGTCTCTTTAAAAAATGATTCTGAGAAAAAAGTAGATATCCACACGCAAAAGAATGAATTTGGATCCTTGCCCCACATTGTACACAAAAATAAACACAAAATGGACTATGACCTTAAAATAAAACAACTCTTAGCTAGAAGAAAATCACAGGAGTAAATCTTTGTGAACCTGGGTTAGGCAATGGTTTCTTAACTATAGCATCAAAAACAGAAATGACAAAAGAAAAGAGAGATGAATTGTACTTCATCAAAATTAGAAAATTTATGAGTCAAAGGACACCACCAAGAAAGTGAAAAGACAACCTACAGAATAAGAAAAACATATTTGCAAATCATTAGATGACATGGACTTGTATCTAGAATATATAAAGAATGCTTACAACTCATCGATAAAAAAACCCAAATAACCCAATTAAAATATAGGCAAGGGATTTGCACAGGTATTTCTCCAAAGAAAATATACAAATGGTCAGTAAGCAAAGATGATGTTCATAATCATTAGTCATCAGGAAAATACAAATCAAAACTACAATGGGATACCACTTCACTAAACTCACCAAGATGGTTAAAATCAAACAAATTAATAATAACAAATGTTGTTATTCATGATATGCCGGTACCATGAAGAAATTGGAACCCTCATTTTGGGGTTGAAAATATTCTAAAATTAGACTGTGCTGATGACTGTCCAACTGAATATGTTAAAGACCACTAAACTGTATACTTTAAATGGGTGCATTTATGGTAAAGAAATACAGGGTGGGGCAAAAGAAGGTTTACAGTTGTCATATGGAAAATACAATAATTAATAAATAATACAAGAATAAACTCTTGAGTTATGCGTATTCAAAACTGTAAACCTACTTCTGCCTCATCCTGTAGGCCTGCTCCTGAGCCTCAGGACCTTTGTACTTGCTGTTTTGTCTGCCAAAATATCCACATGGCTCACTACTTCACTTCCTGTACCAAATGTATTCTTTCACTAAGGCTTCCCTGGGCACCCAATTTAAAATTTCAAGAGCACACTGTGCCAATCTTCTCCCTTCATTGCTTTCCTTTTTCCTAAGCCCTGCTGTTATCTGCAATAGTACGTATTTTACCTCCTTAACTTTTGTATTGCCTCTAACACTAACATGTCACCTTCATTTACATCTTTGGCATTCTCGATTTTGTTCACTGTTGAATTCCCAGCATCTTAGAATGGTGCCTAGCACATTCGAGAAATATTTTACAAATAAAACCACCACTGGATTGAAGTATCTTGTGTAGATGATAAACAGTAGCACTCAGAAAATAAACAATCAAACCACAGAAAAAAACGTAGAAAAATGTATAGGATCCTTACTTAGGTCAGCTCTCGCCTCTTTTTTCTTCTGAGAGGCCCAACCCACTGTGGAGAGTTTATCTCCTGATTTCTCCTCTAAGCTTCTACTCAAGCGCCAGATTTTCAGTGTATTGTCATCAGAGCAGGTAGCAATCTAAGGAGAACCAGGAAGGGAGTTAAGGAGTTTTAATAAAAGATTCACAACAAAGTAAAAAGTAGATGTTGTCTAAGGGCTCATGACTGGAAAATTATTTTGTTTGATATAAAAAATGGCACCTGAAAGATCATGTATTTCTGTTCCCTGCTTTTAGGAATCATTGCAAATTTCCAAAGAAGTAAATTCTCTAGTTTCTTCTTTATATACATTCTGTTGATGTCTTTTGTTATGTCATTTTTTATTAACCTAAAGCTCTATTATAAACCAGGTGCATTTCATTTTATTCTCAAGGAGCTGGGAAAGTCATTATCTTTATTATCTTTATGTAACTATGAAATATTTAATTAAGATACTCTTCTTGCTTTCTCTTTTCCTTAAACGATTAATCAGTGTATGTCACAAACATTCAATTTCTGTGAATCTCTTCTGGATTTTGCATGTTCTGGTTTATTGCTGGTTTAATGGGATCATTTCCAAGATCAGACTTAGTCCATGACTCTAGTAGGCTGTGACAATTAGAATGAAACCAATCCTTCGATTTTTTTCCCCCGGATAGGTAAAGGAGCAATCTGGGAAAACAAGTTCACTAGGCTGAAAGAAGTTAAAAATAACCTTTGCCCCTTTAAAAATATCTGACCATTCCTGATCTTGGTCCCAAGCCTTTTATGGCAGAGAAAGTCCAGCTTGAAGAGCTTGTGGCAAATGGCCACTGGTACCAGAGCTGTTCCCCAGCATTTGTTTATATAATTTCTCTATTTCAGTCACTAAAGAGATAGAAAAAAAAGAACACACGTTCTCTTAAGTCTTGGCCCCAAGAGACTGGCAGCTTTTTCCTTTCCTTACTGGGAGGCCAAAAGAAGACACACATATTTAACTGCTCTACAAAAAAATGCCTGGAATCCCTAGTTACTCTATAGTCTATTAACAAGAGTTATTACATATAGAGCACCTACTGTGTGCCTGACAATTTGCATTCTTTATTTTATTTAATTCTCACAATATAAAAATCCTTATACTCAAATAATCTCATCTACAAAATAGTAATAAAATTATATGACCGAGCCCTGGCCAGTTTGGCTCAGCGGTTAGAGCATCAGCCTGCAGACCAGAGGGTACCGGGTTCGGTTCCCGCTAAGGGCGCGTACCTTGGTTGCAGTTTGTCCCAGCCCCGGTTGGGGTCGTGTGGGTGGCATCCAGATGATGTGTCTCTCTCACACAGATCTCTCTCTCTCTCTCATCCCCACTCTCTCCCTCCCGCTCTATCTGAAGATAAATCCAAAAATGTCCTCGGGTGAGGATTACAAAAAAAAAAAATTATTTGCCCAAGGTCACCATAATTGAGTGGCAGATCTAGTAGAACCAAATCTTGCCAATTTCAAAGGCATAACCTTTTTTTTAAATCATATTTTACTTTCCTAACTCTATGCAAGGGACAAAATTATTTCAAAGAACTTTTTATAAAGGTGGTCATTAGATTAGTATTGGTCAACAGCCCTGCCACTTCTTTTGAATCTTCTGTGCATAAAGATAAGGACAACATACGATAGTTGCAAAGAGATGACATAATGAACTGAATATTTCAAAAACCATCTTAGTGAGTTCTATGATGATACAGAACTCCATGTTAAAAGAAGGTATTTCATTGTAAACATGGTATCCCAAAAGAAAAATGTCACTGGTGTAGTATTATTGTAGTTACTGGTAATTAAAGTAGTAATTTCAAAAAAAGGTCTATCATGAAGCTGACCACAGAAATGGTTACACAGAATTAGCAAGGATGCCAGGAGTAGACCAGATCATGAGTTTTTGGAAGATAAAAAACAGATGGTAACAAAAGGCAACAAAACCTTAAAATGTCAAAGTGAGAAAGAAGAGATCTCCACATAATCGACATTTCCTATAAATCCAGAATAACCCAAAGACTAGGGGCAGTAAGGGTTAGAAAAGTGAGTGGCCTTTCTAGATTTCAGGTTTTTATTTTCACTATTAAAAAAAATTTTAAGTGAGAGTATTTCTTTCTTTCTAGAGTGTCTAAAACATTTTGGAACTACTTGTGTAGTTAACCACAGAGAGCCTAAAACTTCACACTAAGCAGTTTTTAGCATGTGAAAATCCAAGCTGGCCTGTGAAGAACAGCTGAGATGTTACCTTCAATGTACCACATTAATATGTAGAAAAGTTAAAAAGACAAGCTCTCACCTTACATTTTCTTTTTACCTTAAATTTTAGGATCAAATTTTAATTACATTACAAACTTAATTCTATGTTTAGAAAAGGAATGACTCCAGGATACCAAGAAATCCATCCTCATTCCTTAGTGCATAATACAATTTCTCAATTGGTAGAGAAAAGTAGAATACACATGATTAATGTTGATGCAGATCCTGGATGGCCTCTAGATCTTTTAAATCTCTATATTCAAGCATGAAAATGTGTAACTCTCAAACTAACCTTGAGAAAACCTATAAATCTATGATCTACTTTTTATTTTTTTGGTTTTAGAGAGTGGAAGGAAGAGAAACACTGATTTGTTGTTCCATTTATTTATGCATTTATAAGTTGATTCTTTATGTGCCCTTACTGGGGACTGAACCTGCGAACCAAACCTGGCACCAACTGAGCTACCTGGTTAGGGTTGTATGATCTATTTCTTAATCCAACTAAGGATATTTATTTACAAACCTTTGTGAAATCTGATGGACACCAGCACACAGATGTGACCTCTTGAGAATGACCCAGGAGCACAGTTGGAGGATGCCAGGGCGTGGACACCTAGTGCAATGTCAAAAAGAAACAAGTCAGCAGAGCAATATTAGGACTCCCAGAAAAGGCTTTGAATTTCTTCATATTTGTGCCTTAGAGATCTTTAGGATTGTTACCAAAGCTCCCTAGGAATGCCTAACTATAGCTTAGAAAAAGAGTCCCAGTGGACAATAAAAGTATTTCTGTCATTAATCAAGTAAGTAAATAATGGGCTTAAATACCAGTACCAGTCTTATTTCAAATCAGGACTATCTAGCTATACATATTTTGACCCAAATTTAAGAAGAGTTTTGTCCTTCACCTCTTAGCTAGTGAACTTTATAGAAGGATGAGGTTCATCTGCTAGTAGTACACTTCAGATAGAACCCTATTTTTACATAGCCTAGACATTTTCAGATCTTCTCTAGCCAGCTTCCTCCAGGGACACTAACATGAACTATATCCTGAAGGTACCTGAGACATGCTATTAGTATTCTTGGGATAAGAGGATACTTTTTTCCCCCCCTTTATTGATTTTAGAGAGAGAGGAAGGAAGAAGGAGACAGAAACATAGATGAGAGAGAACATCGATTGGCCACTTCCTACACGCCCCCCACTGGGGATTTGGCCCACAACCTGGGCATGTGCCCTGACCGGGAATTGAACTGGCAACCTCTTGTTACAGGGGTTGATGTGCAACCACTGAGACATATCAACTAGGCAAGAGGATAGTCTTTCTTCCAAAACAAGAGTCACTGACTTTTATCAAAGTCCAAAGTTATACCCCTTCTTTTTGAAGGTTATAAACTATATTTTGCACAGCACTTTTATATCCTTTTTGGAAGAAAAATTCCTCTAAGATTTTATTTCAGTTAATTTGCTTAGAGTCCTTGAATTTTCAAGTAAGTATTGCCACATTTTAATGTATAAAAAAGAAGGGTCACATTGTGAAGTACTACACATGTGACTAAGAATACTATTTCCTCCCTCACTGAATACCAATAGTAATATGCATTTGACGGCTGTCTGATTCAAGAGCTGTCAATCCGCCCTGGCCGGTTTGGCTCAGAAGTTAGCGCATCGGCCTGAGAACCAGAGAGTCCCAGGTTCGGTTCCTGCTAAGGGCACGTACCTCAGTTGCAGTTTGTCACTGGTCCCAGTTGGAGTCTTGTGGGTGGCAGCCACTTGATATGTCTCTCTCTCTCCCGCTCTATCTCAAAATAAATGCAAAAAAAAAGTCCTCAGATGATTAAAAAAAAGAGCTGTCAATACCTTTTGGAGACCATGGGAATCAATCAGCACAGTATGGAGCAAAAACTCATATACTATTATTAGCACGTGTTTGAGAAAGAGAAATTATTCTCTTTATTTTCCTGAGGCTCTGAATCATTGCTCATTTATATAGAGAAAGTGGAGGCAACTCCGGAAAGAACATTTGTGATTATGACTAAGTAAACTTAATAGATTCCTCAGATTATAGTTAAGAGATTTGACGCACTGAATCATAAGGTTACCCAATTTATTACTACTCTTCTCTTGGATTAATTGGCACATATATAATGATTCAAAAAGCAAAAGAAGACAAAGGACAGTTTACTTTGCCTTGCTGTATAGAAGAAATTTAAACAGAGAGGAAGCTTTTTCTAAGTATATCTAAAAGAATTTCTTACTGCCTACTCCTACAATGCCACAGACAACAGTAACTTACCCTTCTACGAGTTAACATATTTTTAAAAAGACTTTAAGACAGTCTTTAACTATCTCAGTAGCCACAAAAATTCACCTTCCTCCTCTACTAATGGGCTCCAGCCCATTAAGTTTCTAATCACCCAAGACCCAAGCAGGTCTGTTAGCAGCAAGTTTATAGGAAAAGGAAATCTTCGTGTCCTCTTGACCCTCCCTGGTAGAAACACATTATTCTACTCCATTGGTTTACTCTGCTTATTGCCTCTATCTTTTCATTTAATGATACTGCCCCTTCCTCAGCTTCCCAGGTATCATAATACTTAGAACCTAAACATGTACTCAAAGATCAAGCCCTGGCTGGATTGGCTCAGCCATTGGAGTGTTTGCCTGAGGACCAGAGAGTCCTGGGTTCGGTTCCTGCTAACGGCATGTAACTCGATTGCAGTTTGTCCCCGGCCCTGGTTGGGGTTGTGTGGGTGGCAGCCAGTCGATGCGTCTCACATCGATGCTTCTCTCTCTCTCTCTCTTCTTCCCCCTCTATCTGAAGATAAATGCAAAAATATCCTCGGGTGAGGATTAAAAAACAAAAGAAGATCAAAACACATTTCAAGAAAATCCAAACATCAACTAGTAAAATGTATGTACGTTACTAGATTTATCTATAGGATCTAAAAGAAAAAACAAAGCTTAGACCTCTTGAAAAAAACTTCTTACAGTTTGATAAGGTAGGAATAGTAATAATAATGACAATAAAAGTCAGCATTTGTTGAATAATAACTATGAGCCAGGCACTTAACATAGCATTAAAAGTACTCCTGGCTGGTCTATCTCAGTTGTAAGAACATTAGCCCGTGGGCTGAAAGGTCTTGGTTTTGGTTCTTAGTCAAGGGCAAGTATATCAGTTGCAGGTTCGGTCCCTGGCCCTGGTTGGGGTTGTGTAGGAGGCAACCAATTGATGTCTCTCTCTCACAGGAATGTTTCTCTCTCTCTCCCTCTCCCTCCCTTCGACTCTGTCTGAAATCAATGGAAAAAAATATATCCTCAGGGGAGAATTAACAACAAAAAAAGTCAAGGGAAGGTTCCTCAAAAAGTTAAACACAGAATGAATTACCATATGATCCAGCTATTCTAATCTTAGGTATATCCTCCCAGGAGAATTGAAAACATGTTCAAACAAAAACTTGTACATGAATGTTTATAGTAGTTTTATTCATAAAGCCAAAGAGTAGAATAATTCCAATGTCTACCAACAGATGAATGGATAAAAAAAATGTGGACTATCCATACAATGAAATATGCAGTCATAAAAAGGAATGAAGTACTGATACACGCAATAACAATGACAATTCTTAAAAACATGTTAAGTGAAAGAACTCAGATATAAAAGATCACATATTTATTGTATAATTCCATTTATATAAAATTCCAGAATAGGCAAATCCATAGAGACAGAACACAGGTTAGTGGCTGCCAGGAGCAGGGGGGAATGGAGACTGAGCATTAAAAGGTACTGAGTTTCTTTCTGGAGCAATAAAAATGTTTGGAAATGAGATGGTGGTGACAGTTGCATAATATTGTGATTATACACAAAATCACTGAAATGTACACAAAATGACTAAAATGGTGAATTTTACATTATATGAATTCTATCTAAATAAAAAAAGTGGAGGGAGGGGCATGTTTTGGGTTGAAATGAGAACTATTGTCCAATATGTATTTGTGAATGCAGGTTAGGACTATCCTAGTATGATATGCTTCAAGGAAGATTAGTTTCCTCTAATGAAACTCAGGTGGCTTTTAAATCCTTCAGTTTTTAAAATATGTTATTCTTTTTTTTTTTTTTCAGAGAGGAAGAGAGAGACAGAAACGTCAATGTGAGAGAAACATCGATTGGCTGCCTCCTACATGCCCCTCATTGGGGATTGAGCCTGAAACCCAGGCATGTGCCCTGACCAGGAATCGAACTGGGATCCCTCAGTCCATGGGAGAATGCTCAATCCAGAGTCACACTGGCTGGGCCAAATCCTTCATTTTTATTCAAACACATTTTTATTTATTGTCATTTCATTACTATAAAAACATTACTATAATTACATGATTTTTTTTTTTTTTTTTTTTAATCCTCATCTGAGGACATTTTTCCATTTTTTGTACAGACAGAGTGGGAGGGAGAGAGAGGAAGAGAGAGAGAGGGAAACATCGATGTGAAAGGGACACATCGAGTGGCTGCCACCCGCACGACCAACCAGGGCCGGGGACAAACTGCAACCGAGGTACATGCCCTTAGCGGGAACTGAACCCCGGTCTCTCTGGACCACAGGCGGCCGCTCTAACCGCTGAGCCAAACCGGCCAGGGCTGATTTTTTTTTTTTAAAGCCTCCTTCTACTTTTAAAAAGGAAGGAGACTATTGAGTCCAAGAAACATTTTCATCCATGCATTCTGGAGATGGTCAAAACACAAAAAATTGTTCTTAGATATTCCACTAGTTATAAAGACTTTAATTCAAGGCATGTGAATCCCAAAGTTAAACCACCAGAACTATGAAATACCTCTAGTAGTAACTGGCTCTAACCTACAGACTTCATAAAACTTTTTATATACTTAAACATGCAAAAAAGATCAGCACCTTTCCTAAAAAAAACCTCCTTATCCTTCCCAGTGAGAAATGAAATCTAATCTTTATTTCTGCCAGGAGATCATTTACACTTCCTAGTCAGGCTCAATGTTTCGCCAGTCAGCGGTACAATGACTGTGCCAAATCAGTTTATTTATAACCACTTCAATACTATTCAGTGCTTATATCAGAAATGAACCAGAGAAGGAGGGAGTATGGGTGATGGTGGGGCAAGGAATAGAATATTTTAAAAAATATTTGTAACATTGTATCTTTTTCTTTTGAAGTCTTAGACATCAGTATTACAGAGTCTATATTACACCTCCCCTTTGCTGGGCAGTGGTGAGAATGAAGAGGCCATTCTCTTGTGTCTCAAGATCTAAAACTTCCTTCTGTCACTTTGTCTTCTTATGTCCATGGACTTTTTAGTGTAGAAAAAATACCAACACTTGAGAGAATCTGGACTTCTTGGAAATGTAGGTTGTCTTATAAGTCAACCTAACAGGCTGGATACTTGGCTTGTGTGAGATTTTCTTTTCAAACCCCAACCCCCTTGTTTTATCATAGAAAAGAGAAACTGAGCCACCTCACTAGGCTAATTCAATTTTAGGAGCAGTTAGCTTGCCAGGATCTCAAATATCACTTTGCACACTGAGTTATGTGTGGACAGGCAGAACATCATGTCTGACCCACGTCATTCAGTACTAACATGTGACCCAGCCTAGGAATTCAGAAAGAGTCACCCATATATGTGATAGCCACTAATCAGATATCTGAAAAAGGGTTACTAACAACAGCCAAGTATCTTTACTGCTTATCTTTAAAGAGAAGGAGCATCTCATTCCCTGAAACAACAACAACAACAAAGGCCTTTGTACTAGTGAAGAGGGCTAGGGAGTAACTTTGTAAGAATTGACAGTAAAACTCTATCCAATCTTAATTATGTATACCTAAGAAAGGATTTTAAGCAATTTTTTTTAGGGCATAAGCATTTTTTTTGGATAATCCTTTATTATGCTTTTTGGTGTGTCTGAACTTTTTTTTTTTTAAAGAAGATAGAAACTTATAGACAAACTAGGTGAAAACTTATCACAAGATGGGGGTCTCAAACATATGTTTTATAAGCAAATTTTCATAACACAATACAACAGATAAAAGAAATACACTGTAGAAAAAGAGGCAAGCCAAACACAAAAGCATCTTGGATAGAACAATATCTCCACCTTGTGACCATCTAGGGCAGGGGTGGAGAATGTCTGGCCGGTAGGCCTTAAATCAATACCAGCTAATATCACACGCCTCACCAAATCAGCCTGACCAAATATAGCAGGCTAATTTAAAAAAATATGTTTCTATTGATTTTTTTTTTTAGAAAGAGAGGAAGAGAGAGAGATAGAAACATCGATGTGAGAGAGATACATTGCTCAGCTGCCTCCTGTATGCCCCTCACTCACAGCATGTGTCCAGACCGGGAATCAAACTGTGATCTCTCCCAATCCACTGAGACACACCAGCCGGACACAGTAAGCTAATTTTTAAGTTGATAATTTTTTAAAAAAATCCTTACCAGAGGATATTTTTCCACTGACTTTCAGATAGAGGGAGGAGGGGAAGGGGAAAGGGGGGGGGATAAACATCAATAAGAGAGACACACCGATTGGTTGCCTCCTGCACAACCCCAACCAGGGCCAGGGATTGAACTGCAACCGAGGTATGTGCTCTTGACTGGAATAGAACCTTTGACTCTTAGGTCCTCGGGAAGACATTCTAATTGCTGAGCCAAACTGGCCAGAGCAAAGTTGATAATTTTGTGTGGCCAGAGAACAATGTTATAAATATCCAAATGGCCCTTGGCAGAAAAAAGGTTCCCCACCCCGATCTAGGATATTGTTACTAAAAGCTTTTGATAAGGTAGCATTGCATTTTGCAACTCTAGGTATATAGAGAAATCACTTTTTAGTACTTCCTCCAGGACATGAAATTAAGCTGAAGAATAATACTTCATACCTGATAGATTTTATCCTTGTCTTAAGACACTATTAAAGATAATTGACTTCCTAGAGGCTGACAGGACTAAAAATGATATCATTTCTCTTGAGAAGAGATTTGATAACATTGAACCTATGGGCTTATAAAGTTTTAGACATGACTCTAAAATCCAAAATGTGTGAACTCTGATCATTCAATTTACCAATGTCAAGGACACTTAAGAAGTTACTGGGCAATCTAGAAGACAATTAATTTCTAGCTCTAGGAAAACAATGCCTCAATGCTTTTCTCTCTTGAATGCCCAGACATTTCTATAGTTAATTATTCCCACAAGAGCTATTTTTTAGTGGTCACAAGTGCTACTTAAGTGAAACCTCTCAATTTTCTCCATTGGACTTCACATGGACAACTTTAAATTTCTTAGCTTTCAGCAGTCATTTTAGAATCACTATTTAAAAAGTAAAAAAATATATAAATTTGTGTAGCAGAAATGAGAAATCAGAAAAACAAAAAAATTTAAATAATGCTATTAAATATATACAAAACTGATAAACCAGCCACATCTATTTCAGTGACTGAAGATTAAACCACTCCTAAGACAAGAGAGTAAAGAACACAATTACTATACAAGTATCTGAGTGTTTTGTGCAAGGTTCTATGGCTGATTTGGGTTTAGACTGAGTCTTAGAGATTAAAATACTACATGTATTTTGAATGAGAATTTTAAAACACAGGGTAGAAAAACAGTACAGCATGTTTTACCAGAAAGCAGGACAAAGTAATTAAGTTTCTTTCCAGTCTTCTGAATTCTCAATTTCCTGATAATCTAAAACTATTGGAGGATATGGATTGTCAATTTCTGAGAAGCTCCGGCCATGAAAATTTGATATATTTTGCCAACAGTGAGGTTTTGTTTATATTAAAAGGCAAGAAGCAATTTTTACTAAACATTGACCTAGAAAAAGTTAATCATACATGTTTACAATAGACTTATCTCATCTTGGGGGGGGGAAGTATTTGCAAGAATACTTTAGTCTCACGTTTATGGGGGAAGTTTAGCAACTTACCTTCCAGATATAGGCAGCTTCATCACTTGAACCACTGACTAAAAACTGGTCATCTGGACTAAGGCTGGATTTAATATAAAAGGTAGAGTTCTGATGTCCATTGAAGATAGCCACTGCCAGAAGGGGGGAAAAAATCAGTGTATTGACTATTGAAGCAGATGGTCAAACTATATTCACCAAGTAAGAGAAAATTGAACAGTGTAAGAAACTACAGAATCTAGGAAGAGGTTATATTATATTAGATCCAATCTCATGATCTAAACCCAAATACTTGGTATGGAGCTGACTTACAGAGAAGGAAGGAATGAAAAACATTCTTAAAGGACAAAAATAGAGCCAATGTTCAACCTTTCAGTAAAACGCCTTTATAGACCCTCTTTCTGTACCTCAGGGTGTGGCTTTCCCTATTGCATAATACATTGGTCTTTCTTTTCCTTAGAATTCTGATCCCTTGAGGATAAATTTCATATCTCATTCTTTTCTCACTAGATCTTATTGTGCTTTGAATAGATCTTTGAACACTTACTGCACAAAGTGGTAAAAATCAGTAAAAAGAGTTAAGATTTATGGATAGCTTATCTGGGATGAAGGAATCTTTTTAACTCGCACTTGAAATAAGCTGAACAGAAGTAGCTAGTGGGGTAAACTATATTTTCATATGTAAGATACTCCAACTAGGTTAGGTTTAAGCCTTTAGGTTTAGATTTCTCACTATACATGGTAAAGGGGCAAGTAATCCAGTCTAGCATAATGTGCTTAACAGGTTCTTCTATTCTAAGGAGACCAAAATTTGAAGCTTCCAGCATCAGAACATTACTAGGGAATGAGGAAATAAATATATGTTATTGGAGAATTTAAGAATATATTTAGGCAGGAAAAAAGTTTCACTCCAATCTTCTAAAAGATAGGGAAGAAGCCCAGCTGGTGTGGATCAGTGGACTGAGAATCCTGAGAATCACCCCATGGACTGAGAGGTCCTAGTCTGATTCCTGGTCAGGCCACATGCCTGGGCTGTGGGATCAATCCCCGATGAGGGGTGTGCAGGAGGCAACCGATTCATGTTTCTCTCTCACATCGATGTTTCTATCTCTCTCCCTTCCTCTCTCTCTAAAAAATCAATAAAAATATATTTAAAAAATAAATAAAAGAGGGGAAGAATTATTATTAAGAAACTTGGCAGCTTTCCATTATTGCTCACAAAAATCCCTTCCTTTTGCTAGGGAAAAAAACTGGAAAAATACGGTTTTTTCAAGAAAAAGCCTACATATCAAATACTCCCCACATTAAACACTTTCACTGTGAAGTTAAGCAGACTATAAATCACTTCAGATACACATATTATAGAACTACTATATTTAGGTCTGTTAGTAAACTGTGTTTTTGTGCTTTTAAAATTGTACTATGAACAAATATGTTTCTAGAAATTATGAAAGGCATTCATAGTTTGTTCATCAAAAACATATTGGTACAACAAACAGTCTACAATTGCTTACTTCTTAGTTTTCATTAGAAATTAAGGTTTCTAAGGGTTAAAAATTCTAATTAATATATGCAGTTAAAGCTACTAGAACAGTAAGGAAAACATCCTATTATGCAAGGAAAACAAACAAAAAAAACAACCGCAAAAATGGCCTAAGAAATAAAAATGTATTTTATTAAAGGAAAATAATTTAGTCTTAAAGAGTGGTTTAAAAAAAGAGATAAAAAGCACAGGACAAAATTTCAATGTAAAAAAGGAATGGTATGGCTCAGTGGATTGAGCGTCATACCATGAACCTCTGAGGGGTCCAGGTTCAGGTTCAATTCCCGGTCAGGGTACATGCCCAGGTTACAGGCTTGATTCCCAGTAAGAAACGTGCAGGAGGCAGCCATGTTTCTCCCTCACATCAATGTTTCTATCTCTCCCTTCCTCTCTCTCTCTCAAAAAAAAAAAAAAAAAAAAAAAAAAATTAAAAAAGAAAGTTTTATAGAAGGTTTGTGAGAAAGGAACCTTAAGAAAAGAGTTTTATGCATCATTATGCTCGCTAACATGGAGATAAATTTAATCAAGTACATAATTTTTTTTTTTTTATCTTCACCTGAGGACATTTTTTCATCTGTGTTCAGATGTTCAGATAGAGTGGGAAGGAGGGAGGGGGGGGGAGAGAGAGGGAGAGGGAGGGGGAGGGGGAGGGGGAGGGGGAGAGAGAGAGAGAGAGAGAGAGAGAGAGAGAGAGAGAGAGAGAGAGAGAGAGAGAGAGAGAAACATGGATGTGAAAGGGCCGGGGACAAACTGCAACCCAGGTGCGCGCACCCTAAGCGGGAACCGAATCTGGGTCTCTCTGGACCGCAGCCGCTGAGCCAAATCTGCCAGGGCTCAAGTAAATCATTTTTAATATCAAAAGTCAGCTGAAACAAAATTAGAATTTGGTTTTCTCTCTTGTTAAAAGAATAAAGTTTATGGGACTTTTGGTCTGCTCTTGATAAAGGGATTATGAATGGCTTTTCTTTACCTTTGAGCAAGCTACCTAAAAAGCAGGAATTCTATGTTTTATCTAAGTAATTTCCTATGTTGTTTTATCAGGTTTTGATTACAAGAGCTAAGGTCCACTTACAAGTATTTAACTTTCTGAATTTGCCTGCAAAACCTTTGTCATCATAGCTGAATGAATAAATATTGTGTCAGTGACCTATATTAAAACCCTTTTGACAGTTTTGACATACTTCTCATAATCAAATTCCTTTTGAGCTCAACAAAGTGGAATTTTTCAGAGGGTCCCTGAAACATTTTAAATGATTTGGTCTCTTTTTATAAAAAGGGAAATATTAAACTAATTAGGCATGTTAAATTACATGGAAAAATTGTCAAATAAGTGATGATTAAGCCTTCTTAAGTTATATTGAATGGGTGAATGTTATGAATATAATAAATGTTCTAAAAATTACATGTAAATTCTAAAACAATGCCTGGGTGATGTTATCAGTCATAATTCTACTCCCTACCTTAAAATGTGTGCTACAGAAATAACCAAATTTCCCTGTCAACTACATGGTAATCAGATATTTAACCATGACATTATAAGTCTTTTGTCATTTACAGACAGTTATTGTTTTACTCTGATGCTTTTGCAAAATGTGTTTCATTTTCAAAGAGATTCATAAAAAGTACTCTGGAATACAGGTTTCTAACAACTTTCAGATCATACTATTGAACTAGGTAAGAATTTGTAGAACTCTAATGGAGAAATTAATGGCTTCATAAAACTGCTAACAAAAGATCAAGGTCAGTAAGAATTACACAGTACTAAATAAACAATAATAATGATTATAATTTTTATGACTTTTTATTAAATATTATTGGTTCTTTAATCTTTGTTACCCAGATATAAGGACCTGTTCCCCCCTCTCCCCCCGAGCTACCTATGACCCATAGCAATTTGGTAAATTATACCTTGCTAATTGAAACATTTATCTTCTTCCTACCTGATCCCTAAAGAATTTGGAAACTCTTAGTGAGTCTTCTTATTTCCATGTATACAATTATTTACATATGTTCATTAAGAATCTGTTCTCTTGTAATAGGACACAATGGGAAACATTGGTTATACTACTAAGGGTTTTACTACAATGTCATGTTTGAGAGACACATGTATAGACTCAGATAGGACCGTAGAGTTTTAAGGAATAAAACCTGATTTTATGGAAGCCAATAAAGCTCACTTGGAAAAAACATCAGCCTAGTACCTTGCTTACAGGATTCAGCAGCCTTAACTGGTGAGCAAGGAAGGTTACTTCTGGCAAGGGCAGGAAACCTGGGATATTTTGGGAAGCTCAAGGAGAGAGGAACTAACCCAAATCTAGTGGTATTACAGGGTAAAGCCCAAAGGCAAGTCTTTGGCTTGGTTTCTTAGTTTTGAGAGGCTGTGAAAAATTCAGTCTGGAGATTCCTTATGAAAAGTTCCAGCAAAACAGATTTAAAAGAGCCTATGTGATCAATTGCTATTCTTTTTTTTTTTTTTTAGTGTTTTCATTTATTTTAGAGAAAAGAGGAAGGCAGAAAGAGAGTGAGAGAGATAGAAACATCGATGAGATGAAACATCAACATCAATGGGCTGCCTCCTGCACGCCCCCATCCGGGGATCAAGCCCGCAACCTAGGCATATGCCCTGACTGGGAATCAAACCAGTGACCTCTTAGTGCATGGGTCGACACAACCACTGAGCCACAATGGCTGGGCTCAATTGCCATTCTTGATGCATTTATATAAATAACCAGGCTAAGTTTATAGGAACTAGATTTATTTTATAAATAAATTAGAATAATTTGATAAAAACTTGAGAGATCACAATAGTCCATGTTTAGACAATCTTTTTGCCTACTGTTGTGTAAGCCACTCAGAAAGTTAATCTAAACACCTGATGACATCATCAAAGACATCTGAAATTGCAAAAGTTGTTTCAACCCTGACATCTAGAAATCCTGGCTGGCTACTCCCTAGGCTCAGAAACTGGTTTATAATGTGCTCCAACCATTAACCTTTGTTTCTCCTTTGTTTCAATGACTCTTATTAAATACCTGAATTCTTGCTTACACAATATAGACCTAATTTGGGAGACCACATGCATCTCTGCCTCCTGAAATGAATTTAACTGGACTGACCTATGTCAGGACTGAGAGACTGGTTCAATGTGATGGCAATAGTCTATCGACTCAACTCTGGACTGTGAAACTTCTTGGAGAAGTTTCAAAGGCAGGGCTGTGGGGGAGCAAAATCTGCCACCCCAAATGTGTCTCTTTGGCATGAGGATTTAGACTGATTACTTTTAAGAAACAGAAGACTCAGGAAACTTTTGTTACCTCCCCCTTAACTCCTTAAAAGAATACAGATAAAGGGCCGATTCCCATAATAGAGCTATCACCAGAGGTATCTATAGAGTATGAACTAGGTGTGGTGCAAGAAGACTAGAGATGGGTCTGCTGTGTCCCATTGATTCTGTATGGCCCAGCAAAGATTTGTTTACCAAACATTTGCTTTTCCATCTCTAAGTGAATTGCCTTCCTCCCCTCTAAAGCCCCAAACCACCACCCCCTTCTTCTTATCTCAAGATGGCATGTAAGCTCAACTACCCATTTGTCATTGCCCCCCTCCCTCCAATATTCTTGCGGAACTCCTGTATGTACAAAATTAAATAGAAATTTCTCCTGTTAATCTGTGATATATTAATTCAATTCTTAGAACCTAGAAGAATAGAAGAAAATATCTTCCTCCCTCACAAGAAATAAATTCTCACAATTTATTCTGAACACAACTTCCAAACTGTACCTGTTCAACTCTAAACTATGAATGGAAAACTATAAACCAAATTTCCCACTAAACCTATAAGTATTTATTGCCCTCTGCTGGTGTAAGAAAAGCTAGCATAAAATATACTGTTAATGTTTCAAACCATACAAAATACCCTTCTAAAACCTATCAATTTTTCTTCGATGATCTGAGCTCTTAAAAGTGTTTCAGAGTCATCCTTATGAACATCAATTAGTATAATAAAATATTGTGAATTAAAAGTATGGGAGAGCAAGTATTGAGCCCAGGACCCTTTGTGAAGTTGTTTTTTTAAATCCTCATCTGAGGCCCTGGCCAGTTTGGCTCAGTGGTTAGAGCGTCGGCCTGCGGTCCTGAGAGACCCGGGTTCGGTTCCCACTAAGGGCACGTACCTCGGTTGCAGTTTGTCCCCGGCCCTGGTCGGTTGTGCGGGTGGCAGCCACTCGATGTGCTCCTTTCACACCGATGTTTCTCTCTCTCTCTCTGTTCCTCTCTCTCCCTCCCACTCTACTTGAACCAAAAATGGAAAAATGTCCTCGGGTGAGGATAAAACAACAACAACAACAACAACAAAAAACAACAACAAAAAATAAATCCTCACCTGAGGATATTTTTCTATTTATCATCAGATAGAGTGGGAGGGAGGTAGAGAGAGGAAAAGAAAGGGAGAGAGGGAGAATGAGAGAGAAAGAGAGAGGGACAAAAACATTGATGTGAGAGAGACACATCGACTGGCTGCCTCCCACACAACCCGACCAGGGCCGGGGATGAACTGTAACAGAGGTATATGCCCGTGACTGGAATTGAACCCATGACTCACTGATTCACAGGCTGACACTCTAACCGCTAAGCCAAACTGGCCATGATGTTATTTTTTAAAAAATATTTTTATTGATTTTTTTTTCCCTTTAATGATTTTTAGAGAGAAAGGAAGTGAGAGGGAGAGATAGAAACATCAATGAGAGAGAACATCGATTGGCCACCTTTTGCATGCCCCCCACTGGGGATGGGGCCCTCAACCTGGGCATGTGCCCTGACCAGGAATCAAACCAGCGACCTCTTGGTGCATGGGTCGACACTCAACTACTGAGCCACACCAGCTGGACGATTTTTTTTAAAGAGAGGAAGGGAGCCCTGGCTGGTTTGGCTCAGCGGTTAGAGCGTCGGCCTGCGGTCTGGAGAGACCCGGGTTCGGTTCCCGCTAAGGGCACGTACCTTGGTTGCAGTTTGTCCCCGGCCCTGGTTGGGTCGTGTGGGTGGCAACCACTCGATGTGTCGCTTTCACGTCGATGTTTCTCTCTCTCTCTCTCCCACTCACTCTATCTGAACAAAATATCGAAAAATGTCCTCGGGTGAGGATTAAAAAAAAAAAAAGAAAGAAAGAAAGAGAGGAAGGGAGAAGGAAATATCGATGTGAGAGCAAAACATCGATCAGCTAGCTGCTTCCTGCATGCACCTTATCGGGAAACAAACCCACAACCAGGGCACATACCCTAACCAGGAATAGAACCAGCTATCTTTTGGTGCATGGGACATGCTCAACCAAGCACACTGGCCAGAGTGCTTCTTTTTGAAGTTTTGAAAAACATAAGCAATTACCAGATGTGCCACACATACATAAGTCTGTACATTATTCAATTTTAAATAAGTATTATATCTATCTATCTATCTATCTATCTATCTATCTATCTATGAGAGCCAATTAAATTATTTTAGAACACAGGAAAAAGGTTGCTAAATTATTAGAAAAGTGGCCTTGGGCATATCTGTTTCACAGCAGAGGGACAAAATGAACTCAAGGTCAAGGTTCCTTTTAGTGCCACACTATAACAAAATGATAAATTAGAAGTTGTCTAAGTTCTGATTCCATTTAGGAAAATAGCAAAATAAGTTATAAAACCTCTTTCCTTTTCCAAACACTCCTGTTCTTGTTTAGATAACACCAGACCTATTTCAAAGCTTTGGAAGTGCCAATTGTGATGATGCTACAGATACAAGTCCTAATAATGACTTGGGGACAGTCTTTGGAAACTTCTGCAAGAACCCAGACAAGTTCTGTACTATTCTGAGATTTGTTTATCAGCACATCTTATTGTAGTGGGAACTGGGTAGATCTGGGGATTGGTTATAGAATTCAAAGTCTATAGGAAGAACCATATTATTAATATGTAGCTTGCTTCAATAATTAATAATGTTCTTGAAATTATGTAACCCAAATAACCCTCTTAGAGTATGCCCGAGAAACCTTGGTTTCTTTTTTAAAATGTCATTTATCAGCTTTTTTTTTTAAATCCTCACCTGAGGAGCCCTGGCCGGTTTGGCTCAGCGGTTGGAGCGTTGGCCTGCGGTCCGGAGAGACCCGGGTTCGGTTCCCGCTAAGGGCACGTACTTCAGTTGCAGTTTGTCCCCGGCCCTGGTTGGTCGTGCGGGTGGCAGCCACTCGATGTGTCCCTTTCACATCGATGTTTCTCTCTCTCTCTCCCTTCCTCTAGCTCCCTCCACTCAATCTGAACAAAAAAAATGGCAAAATGTCCTCGGTGAGGATAAATCCTCACCGAGGACATTTTTGCACTTATCTTTAGACAGAGCAGGAGGGAGAGAGAGAGAGAGAAAGATTGATGTGAGAGAGACTCATCAACTGGTTGCCACTCACATGACCGCAACCAGGGCTGGGGACAAACTGCAACCGAGGTACATGCCCTTAGCGGGAACCGAACCCAGGCCTCTCTGGTCCGTGGGCCAACATTCTAACCGCTGAGCCAAACCAGCCAGGGCTCATTTATCAGCTTTAAATATCAGATTCTACTTTTAATTTTCTTCTAGAAAAGAAAGGGTGAGGGTGGGGAAAACATAAGAGGCAAAACAGCCTCTGTCCAACATTGAGAAAGCTGAGGTAGGTAGGAATTATTTTGGGGGATTAAAAAATTCAGCACCCTAATTTAATAAACAACCCCTAAACAGAACTAAAGCTGAACAGAACAGCTTTCTCTGTCCCACAAAAATTTAGATAATTCATCAGTAGAACTAATCAAAGACCCTCATAAAATCCTTCTATGTCTTAATAAATTTGGCTTAGAAAAGAACCAATATTAAATTATCATTAACAAAAAGGTCTGTATTAGTTTTTGGGTAAGAATTTCAATGATTAAGATCTTACCTGGAGAAGTCTTTAACCCAGTCATATTGAACATGTAGATGTTGTCATCTGTGCAATTAGCAAATAAAGTAGAGCCAGTGGAATCCAAAATCAGACTTGAGTATCCTGGAAAACGGAAACTTTAGTTAGTATGTCCTGGTGATAGTGAGTAGAAATGAGGTAAAAATGCTGAGGACAAAGGATCATTCCATAAAAATCACTAAAATTCTTCTCCAAAATATATACAAACCAAAAATACTTGCTTTTATTTTTTGAAATCCAAAAAGATACAATCACATATTAGAGTTTTTCAAGTCTATGTTGCTGAAAACTAGCTTGATATTTATTTTTAAAATTTAACAAAAACTTCCATCCCGTAAAAATTCCTACAGTCTCTAAAATGGCTTACCTAGTTTTCGAGTGCTGCTACCTGGGTACAGGAACGACTTGGATGCTATGGGTTCCTGTCTATAAGCAGTATAATTCTTACGTAGATCCCATATTTTAATTACCCTAAAATAAAATCAAGATAACAAAATAGTTATTTTGTAATCTTTCTCCAACCCCAACCAGTTTCAATGATATTGAACATGAAATGACTTTTAATCTAACTTCTCTGGTACACTGAACAGGGAACAGTTAGGATATTTCATTGGGAAACAGACTGAACTGTTTCATACTGTTGTCTCCAGTATCAGGCTTTAAATTCTGGCACAACGGAAACAGATGTGATCTGACCCAGTGATGGGTTACCTTGAGTTTACTTCAAGGGAGCGGAAAAGGAAGATGAAGGTTAAGTGCTGATAGTCATTGTTTCATTGTTCGCAGAAAACAAACACTTCCTAAGCTTTTAACACTCTTTGACAGCATAAGTAACAAGCTCTGTCCATATGGTCACATGTCTATATGTAACTCCTTAAGTAATCTAAACAAATTTTCCTGAGAAGTGAAGTATTTTTTCATTTCATCTATTGGGGTAGTTGTCTTAATCCTCTACATGTAGTTTGTAGGCAACTTGAAAACACAAGCTTGGTTTAATAGGGCAGTATCCTTGGAATAAAACAGAGCAAGCTCTCATATCCATTCACAAACACAACTGATAACCTTTAGATAATGCTTTATTTGTGCCTCAGACTTTGGTCCACAGAAGAATTTTAGTGTCCAGAGGACACACAATGGAAATCCTATTTTATTAAGTCATCATCTGTTTAAATGATGTTTTTTAAGGGAAAAATGTCTTGGGAGATATAATGAGCAAATCAGGGGACGAAAAGGGTGCTTAAAAAAAGAAAGAGCCCCTATACTCAAATAACATATTCTAACAAGGCAACTAATCAAGAATACCACCAAATTAACTGGAGGCCAGAAATTAAGACCAGTCATGGATGGCAGGTATGTAAATTGAAAGTCATTAGGCCTTACTATTGTTTTAGTTAGAGCACTCCCAGAAATGCTAATTACATGTACAGAATCAGATTTCCCCTTTTATGTTATTACTAAACCTGAAAAGATAAAATGCAAGATAGTAGAAATTTTACTCTTCAAAATAAGAATCACTGACTAAATTATTCTGCATAGATAAGCAAGCTACCCATCCAATTTCTCTGTAATAGGAGCAGTCAACATCACTCACATGTGCTAGACAATGTGATAAATGTGACACATGTATTATCTCACTTAATTACTTGAGCAAGAGTCCTAACTAGATATTTTCCAGTGTGATCTGCAGGTCCTCTTCTCAGCTGGGTATTCACTATGTTGAAAGTTAAAAGCACACACATCCAATTATAATGGGACTAAGTGACTTTCCTGTCATAGGTCATGAAAGAGACCTTATCGAAAGAACTAAGACTTACCCATCCACAGCTCCTGCTGAGATTAATGTATTCTCATCTTGAAAAAGGACCACAGTAACACTCTGCTGGAAATCCTAACACAAGGAAGAAAAAGAAAAGGAGTAAATCCTATTTTGGATACCGCAATCTTCACCATTAAGAGACCAAGGTACTAAAATGGCTTTTTTTCTCCCAAACTCTTAGTTAGACTAAATCTCCAATAATCCCAATCAGTGCTGACCAAGTTAGTTAGGAAATAACCTAAATATAATAAAATTATAGCATTCAGTGTTAACACTTTGACTTATACTTAAGAAACATATTGGTTAAGATTTGTTTAAGTCTACTGGCTCTAATTAGAATCAGACATATAAATGAGATGTCTATCTTTAGGAAACTCATCGACTTTCCTGTGCCTGTTTCATCTATAAAATGTCACTCACCATCTACCTAGATTACCATAAAAGAATATCTAAAGAATTACCAATGAAAGATGATTACATATTCTGATAAATTTAAAGGTGCTCAATAGAGTTTTTACCTCCTAATGTCTGTTAATAGGTATTCTTGGCTCAGAATCTGATTAAATGTCTGAAATGTTCCTCATTTTAACTAGACCTCATGCTAACTCTGCTAATTTCCATTCTTGCTTGTGTCTTGTTCACGGTACGCAATTTTAAGTCCTAATGTTTTAGCAACCACACCTTCCCCCAAAATGATTAAGTTGGATCTTATAGGCCAGGAGTATTAGAAAAATAAACACAAAAGTAAGAGCAATGGTGATTTAATTTTTAAGAAAAAAAGATGTATTCTGGGCATTGTATGAGCTTTGAATATCAGATCTAGAGAGATACTATATGAACACAACAGGAATTCCTTCTCAACAGAAACTGTATCATAGTACTTAATATACTTCTTCAAATTACTCCCCCTTTCCTAGTGAATTACATTATGCTGTAGAGAAGTGCATGCATAGAGAACCGAGGGATGAGGCTCTGGGAAGCTGAATTTTTAACATGCTCCCCAGGTTCCTCTATTGCAAACTAGGTTTTGAAAACAACTACTGTAGGTATTGAATTAGCATTAAGCAATAAACCCACTGATATCAAGAGGAAATGAAGATTCTCATTCACTTAATCTATAACTCTTATTTTATGCCTAATAAATTCCCTAAAATGAGATTCTATCTGTTAAGATCAGCACACATGTATACAGCTAAAAAAACCTTACCACAGAAGGAGCAAGTCCTTTAGAATTCTGTTTCTTCTTAGGTTTTGAAGGGGTTTGCTTGTCTAAGGTATTGTGAGCACCACTGATTTGATTCACTTGCCTATAAAATCCATCTGAAAGATATTCCGAGGAAATTTATTTAGTTTTCAGAACTTTATTTCTATGCTGAATGTAACATTTATATGTAAGATCTCAAAATTATTATATTCTTTATTAGATTAGTGAAAGTAGAAGCTAGTAGTGCTACCACACTACATCTCTTATGTTGAGATTATAATGCATAAAAAAGAAATAAGCACAGAGATGTTTATAGCAGCTTTATTTATAATTGCCAAAACTTGGAAACAACCAAGATGTGCTTCAGTATGTGAATGTATGAATAAACTGTGGTAAATCCAGACAATGACATATTATTCAGTGCTACAAAGAATTGAGCTACCAAGCTATAAAAAGACATGGAGGAACCTTAAAGGCATATTACTAAATAAGAAAAGACAATCTGAAAAGGCTGCATACTGTAATTATGACATTTTGGGAAAGGCAAAACCATGGAGACAATAAAAAGATCAGTGATTGCCAGGGATTGTGGGGAGGGCAAGATTAATAGGTGAAGCAGTGAACTATCCTATATGATACTATAATATATACTTACTGAAACCAACAGAATATATTATACTAAGAGTGAATCCTAATGTAAAGTACAGATAGACCTTGAGTGATAGTGATGATGTATCCATGTAGGTTCATCAGCTGTAACAAATGTCCAACTCTGGTGAGGGAAGTTGATAGTGTGAGATGGGGTATATCAGTACAGAGAGAACTCTCTATACTTTTGCTCAATTTTGCTGTGTATCTAAAACAGCTCTAAAAGACAGTGTTAAAAATAAAATTTTTAGCCCTGGCCGGTTTGGCTCAGCGGTTAGAACGTCTGCCTGCGGTCCAGAGAGACCCGGGTTCGGTTCCCGCTAAGGGCACGTGCCTTGGTTGCAGTTTGTCCCCGGCCCTGGTTGGTCGTGCGGGTGGCAACCACTCGATGTGTCCCTTCACATCGATGTTTCTCTCTCTCTCTCTTCCTCTCTCTCCCTCCCGCTCTGTCTGAACAAAAAAAATGCAAAAATGTCCTCTGGTGAGGATAAAAAAAATAAATAAATAAAATAAAATAAAATTTTTAAAAGGGAAGTAAGCAGGGAGATGATTGTTAGTTTCTGCTTAATGGCATCGTTGGGCAGTTAGCATGATATTTAATCAAATTCTTTTACACCAAAAAATTATAAATTAAAAGATCATTTACCAGTGAGCTCATGAATTAATAATTTCAATTCCATCAATCACTTAGGTAAGCAGTGATACAGTTCAGAAGACAATATAAGGTAAATACAGAGGGTAATACTTGCAATAATCGCTAAAATCATGAGAATTAGAACAGTAAGCAGAAATAAAGGATTATGAACATGTGCCCCCTGGTGGTTATCAGATGAAATCAATAAACCTTTCATTCAAAATAAGTATAGGGACAGCCCACATTTATCAAAATTATAATGCAACTAGACTACCTTTTTTGTTGCACCTGGTGTCCCAGACCATAATGTTGCCATCTCTTCCACCTGTACAGAAAACCGCTGTGGGGAAATAGTTTATCAAAAAGTTAACAGAACTGGTTAATGACATATACATTTCAATTTAAATTTCCTAGAGTATCTATTATATGCTAGGTTCTATAACTGGCACTGGAGGTTAAAAGTTAAAAATATATGGCTTGCCCTGGCCAGTTTGGCTCAGCAGTTAGAGCACTGGCCCTCAGAGACCAAAGGGTCGTGGGTTTGATTCCTGGGTAAGGGCACATGTTTGGGTTACAGGTTCAATCTGTAGCCCTGGTCAGGGATATGCAGGAGGCAACTAATCAATGTGCTTCTCTCACATTGATGTTTCTCTCTTTCTCTCTCCCTCCCTCCCTTCCATTCTATCTAAAAAAAAAAAAATCAATGAAAAAGTATCCTTGAGTAAAGATTAAAAATAAATCACAGCCCTGGCCGGTTTGTTTTAGCGGTTAGAGGGTCCACCTACGGTCCGGAGAGGCCCGGGTTCAGTTCCCGCTAAGGGCACGTACCTCGGTTGCAGTTTGTCCCCAGCCCTGTTTGGTCGTGCGGGTGGCAGCCACTCGATGTGTCCCTTTCACATCGATGTTTCCCTCTCTTTCTCTTCCTCTCTCTCCCTCCCACTCTGTACAAAAAATGGAAAAATGTCCTCGGATGAGGATTAAAAAAAAAAGAAAAAATAAAAAATAAATAAATAAATCACAGAGATGTAACTATATGCTTTAAAAAAAGACTCATTAATAAAAAATTTTAAAAAGCCCAGCTGGCATGGCTCAGTGGACTGAGCATTGTCCCATGAACTGAAAGGTCCTGGTTCAATTCCTGGTCAGGGCACATGCCCAGGATGTGGGCTTCGATCCCCAGTAGGGGGTGTGCAGGAGGCAGCTGACTGATGTTTCTCACATTGATGTTTCTGTCACTCTCTCTCTCTAAAAAAATAAAAAACACAATACACACACACGGCTCAACAACAAATAACAGAAAACAAAGCTGTGAAGGAAAAGAATTATAAAAATCTCAAAACACGTATGTTAAAAACTTTAAAAAATAATCCCTCTGTATACATTTTCTTAAAACCACACAAAACACCATATATAGTAAAATTATAGTAAGAATAATGATAAACAAGAAATTACCAAAATATATTGAGTACTTACTAAGTACTATACTCTTAGATTTATATAAATTATCTCAATCCTTGTTATCAACCCTATTAGGTGGGTATTATTATCCCTATTTTACAGATAAGAAAACTAAGGCAGAAACAGTAACTTGTAAAGATATTCTTGACAGTATGAATCCAGAGCCCATACCCCAAACCTCTAAGCTGTCGTGTCTCAGTATAAAAATATAGACAAGCCCTGGCCAGTTTGGCTCAGTGGTTAGTGTCGGCCCACGGACCAGAGTTCTGGGTTCGTTTCCTGCTAAGGGCATGTACCTCGGTTGTAGTTTGTCCTTGGCCCCGGTTAGGGTCGTGTGGGTGGCAACCAGTTGATGTGTCTCCCTCACATCAATGTCTCTCTCTCTCTCTTCCTCCCTCTCTCCCAACCACTCTATCTGAAGATGAATGCAATAGTGTCCTTGGGCGAGGATAAAAAAAAATATATATATATATATGGACAAGATCCACACGAAATTTGTAAAAGGGATTGCCTCTGGGGATGAAAGGAGGGCAATCGGATTAGAGATGAAAACATAGAACTTCAATTTCTCTGCAATGTTCTACTCTTTAAAATTAAACCAAAACAACTCTGCTTCCTGTATGCAAGAGTGGACACTTACCAAACCAATCCACCTGCATTAGCTTTTAAACTCTGGAAAAAAAATATACGAAAAAAAAAGACCTGAATTTTCTATAGAGACTGAACAAAAACATACAATTTTTGGAGGATAGTCAACAACTGAATCAAGTGATTGGCTCGGGGTATGTTACTGGTCTTCTGTGGTTTTACCTTGAAGGTAGCCAGTGGCAGGTAGCTAAAATGCCAGTGGAAAAACCTGCCATCGCCTAGCCAGTGTGGCTCAGTGGCTGAGCATCGACCTATGCACCAAGAGGTTGCCAGTTCAATTCACGGTCAGGGCATATGCCCAAGTTGTGGGGCAAATCCCCAGTGGGGGGCATGCAGGAGGCAGCCAAATGATGTTCTCTCTCATAGATGTTTCTCTCTCTCTCTCCCTTCCTCTCTCTCTAAAATCAATAAAGAAAAAATCATTAAAAATAAAAAAACAAAAACTTGCCATCTTTCAAGCCAGAAAAACTAGAAAAGGAAACGTGAGGCACCCAGAGCTGCCAGAGTGAGGGGAAAACCCTAGAGAAAGCCAGAGAAAGAGAAATCCTAATTCTGTGTTTAAACTCAGTAAGTCTTTGGCTGACTCCTAAACCATCTATGATGAGGAAAACTAAATGTAGCTTGCACCTGACTTAAATTACTGAACAGAATTGAACCCAATTCCTTTTTGCAGGTTTGACTGTCTGCAATTTGAGTCTAATTCAATTAATTGCCTGTTAAAACCAAAATAGCAACTCTTTCCTAAGCAATATAATAGAACCCAGAGTCCAACATATTATTCACAATGCCCAGGACATAACCTAAATTATTTGACATATAAAGAGTCAGGATACCCTGGCCGGTTTGGTTCAGTGGTTAGAGCATCGGCCTGCAGACCAAAGAGTTGTGGGTTTGATTCGTCAAGGGCATGTACCTCGGTTGCAGACAGCGTCGTGTGGGAGGCAGCAGTGGATGTCTCTCTCTCTCACATCAATTTTATCTCTCTCTCCCTCCCTCCCACTGTGTCTGAAAATAAATGGAAAAATATCCTCGGGTGATTAAAAAAAAAAAAAAAAAAAAAAAGAAAATGAGTCATTCTCAAAGGAAAAGAAATCAACAGAGGCCAATCGTGAAACAACTCATATTATTTTATCAGACAAGGTTGTAAAGCAAATATAACTATGTGAGGTAAAGAAAGAGACATTCACAAACATTTAAAAGATGATAAATCTTAGCAAAGAGCTTACAAAAAAAAATTTCAGAACAGAAAAACAAATTCTGAAGTGACAAATTCACTGGATAAGCTTAAGAGCAGAATAAAGAGAACAGAGAAAAAGTCAGTGAACTTGAAGACACAGCAGTAGAAATCATTCAATTTGAAGTGAAAAATAAGATTAAACATTACACCAAGTGACAGAAGCCAGTCACCAAAGACCACATATTATATAGTTCCAGTTTATATGAATGTGCAGAATAAGCAAACTACGGAAGCAGATGGAAGGTATTGCTAATGAGTTCTGACTTCTTTCTGGGCAGATGAAAATGTTTAAACTTAGACCATGGGGATGGTTGCACAGCTCTGCAAGCAAATTAAAAACCATTAAAACGGCCCTGGCCAGTTTGGCTCAGCGGTTAGAGCGTCGGCCTGTGGTCCGGAGAGACCCAGGTTCGGTTCCCGCTAAGGGCATGTACTTCGGTTGCAGTTTGTCCCCGGCCCTGGTTGGTCGTGCGGGTGGCAGCCACTCGATGTGTCCCTTTCACGTTGATGTTTCTCTCTCTCTCTCTCCCTTCCTCTCTCTCCCTCCCACTCTATCTGTACAAAGAATGGGAAAATATCCTCAAGTGAGGAAAAAAAAAAAACAAAACAAAACATTAAAACGTACATTTTAAATGGGTGATTTTTACGGTATGTTAAATATATCTCAAATTTAAGAAAATTGAAAAGAAAAGAAAGCCTCAAAGATTCATGGGACAATTTCAAAAAGTTTACTATATGAGTAATTGGAGTCCCAGAAGGAGAAGAAATTGGGTAGAAAAAAATATTTCAAGAAATAACAGCAGAAAACTTCCTGAATTCAGTTAAACACATTTGTAAATTTACATGTATAAAAAGCTCAGCAAGTCTCAAACAGAGAACCGTATCTAGACACATTATAGTTAAACTACTGTAAACCAAAAATAAAGAGGAAGTCCTGAAAGCAGCCAGAACAAAAATAATAATACATACAGGGAAATTATTTGAATGACCCCAGAAACCATGAAAGACAGTGGAACATCTTCAAGTAATGAAATAAAAAAAACTTTCAACCCAGAATTTTTTATCAGAAAAAATTTCTTCAGAATGAAGATGAAATAAAGACATTTTCAGCTAAAGGAAAAATAATGTGAATTTATTACAACCAGATACTACAAAAAATGTTATGGGAAGTTCTTCAGGTTGAAGGGAAATGATATCAGAGGACGGGCAAAGATAGATATTGCAAGGGGGAAATCATGAGTTTAGTTTTGAATATGTTGAATTTGAAGTGTCTGAAGAAGTCATGACTGGAAATATAATCTAGTTCAATACAAGCAGTGAAAAACAAAAAATTGGAATAGATCAATCTGTTCAATAGGGTACAGACTGAAAGGAAGGAAATATAATCTAGTGCAATACAAGCAGTGAAAAACAAAAAATTGGAATAGATCAAACTGTTCAATAGGGTACAGACTGAAAGGAAAAGAAGGACCAATATCAAATCTGGGGCCATGCAAACACTTCAAGTTAGGTAAAGAAGTGGCGTTCACCAAAGCAATTATGAAGGAATAAACAGGAACCAGAGGTAGTTGTGTTACAAATCCCAAGGAAGAAAAGAAAATACATAATTAAAAAAAAAAATGGCCAGAATTGCCCTGGCCAATTTTGCTCAGTGGTTAGAGCATCGGCTCTTGGACAAAGAGTCGCAGGTTCAATGCCTGGCAGCCAATGGATGTTCATTTCTCTCTCTCTCTCTCTCAATCCCTCCTTCCCTCCCTCCCTCCCATTCTGAAAACCAGTGGAAAACGTCTTCTGGTGAAGATTTAAAAAAAAAAAGGTCAGAAGTGTCAAACATTTCATAAGAAAGATGAGAGTGAAAAACAGATTGAACCAAACTGAGATAAGGAAATTTAACCCTCTTCTGATTACCCTTAAGAAACTTAGAAGAGACAGTAAATAAGAAAGGATAATAGCTAAAGGAGAACACAAGGTTAAGGTGTTCTTTGAATAGGCCACAGATATGCTTGGGTCTTTCCTATGAAGAAAGAGCCAACAGGGAGGGAAAGCTTGGAGATACAGGAGCTGTGAGACCAAAGGTCTTAGGGAGGATCAAGATTGTCTCTCAACCTCAGCTGTACATTAAAATCCCTTAAAAAAAAGATGCCTGGCTCACCTCTCAAAGATTCACATTTATTTGGTATTTTTTAAAAAAACCCTTCCAGGTGACTATGTGCAGTCATGGTTGGTCTATGAGATCCAATGGTCTATGAAGAAGGACTGGCCTTAAAATGGAGAATGAAGAATGAGAAAGTTGGTGAAAATTTGAAGGTAAGTTTGTAGTAAGAGAAATAGCAATACACTTACAATCATTTTAAATTATCCACAAAGAGGTTCTAGCACTCCTTTTGCCACACAAAACACACATCTGTGTCCATTTTCCTTGCTTTCAGGGTAGATATTTATGGAAGGAAATACCATTAGAATGACTATGCCCTATTGGGATTATTTGCATCCTGTCCATGTAGAACTGAAAGAACTGAATCAATAATCTTTTCTACCATGCTACCTACAAAAGAAACTGCTAGGCATTTATATGGTACTCGTTTTTTTTTTAATGCACTCAAACATCTCACTTCATTCCTTTTTTTCTTTTGATATTTTGTTCCAATAGAGTGGGAGGGAGAGAGAGAGAGAGAGAAACATTGACGTGAAAGGGACACATCGAGTGGTTGCCACCCACACGACCCAACCATGGCCAGGGACAAACTGCACCCGAGATACGTGCCCTTAGTGGGAACCGAACCCAGGTCTCTCCGGACTGCTGGCCGACGCGCTAACCGCTGAGCCAAACCGGCCAGGGCTCACTTCATTCTTATGCTTACAATATTTTTATAAGTAGAATAGGTATTAATGTCATTAAATTAGGAAATGAAGGTCCAGGGATATAAAAATGACTTTGTCCAAGACTTGAATCAGAAACCAGAATAAAACACATGGCTTCTGTGTATGGTTGTAAAAGTGTGTCTTCACAAAAATACTTGGCTGAGGGAGCACAGGCTAAAATCTAATCTGCTTTATTAACCAAACTATGTATCTTTGGGAGCAGTGTCCAACCAGACTAATTCACACTTGGGCACCTGTGGACCACTGGGAATCATGATAAAAGCCAGGTATCCCAATTTCTAACTTAGTGCTTTTTCTAACAGACCACATCAGCATAGAGTCAATATACACAGTTTTGTAAAATCAAGCAAAGAGATAAAAAGATATGGTGTTTCCTTTTCTACTACCCTTTAAATAAATCTACCTTTAGTAAGGTAAATTTTCTTGATCATAAATTATTTTTATAGCCCTGGTCGGATTGACTCAGCAGTTAGAGCGTCAGCCTGCGGTCCAGAGAGACCCGGATTCGGTTCCCGCTAAGGGCATATACCTCGGTTGCAGTTTGTCCCCGGCCCTGGTTTGTCGTGCGGGTGGCAGCCACTGGACGTGTCCCTTTCACGTTGATGTTTCTCTCTCTCTCTCTCTCCCCCTCACACTCTATCTGAGCAAAAAATGGAAAAATGTCGAGTGAGGAAAAAAAAAAAATTATTTTTATAAACTCAAAGTGAACTAACACAGGGATGTAGTAAACTAGAAGACAAGCATACCTAACTTCATACAATAGATGTGTTCATAAAAAGTTATGCAGAGATTTAAAATACAAAACAAAAGACCTATGCCATGTTTCTTCTTCTTAAAGGTTCCAGTCTCAACAGCAACTACAACACATTAAAATCTACCTTTTTTGAGTTCAGCCACACAACTCAGTTTAATGTTCCTCAGTGTTCAGGTGAATAAGTGAAAATATTCCTTTTAAAAATAAGTGTATTGCCCTGACCAGTTTGGCTCAGCGGTTAGAGTGTCGGCCTGCGGTTCAGAGAAACCCGGGTTCAGTTCCCGCTAAGGGCATGTACCTCGGTTGCAGTTTGTCCCTGGCCCTGGTTGGGTCGTGTGGAAGGCAGCCACTCGATGTGTCCCTTTCACGTCGATGTTTCTCTCTCCCCACCCCCCCCTCTATCTGAACAAAAAATGGAAAAAGGTCCTCAGGTAAGGATAAAAAAATAAATAAATAAAAATAAGTGTACTTGGCCTGGCCAGTTTGGCTCAGTGGTTAGAGCGTTGGCCTGCGGTCTGGAGAGACCTGGGTTCGGTTCCCGCTAAGGGCACATACTTTGGTTGCAGTTTGTCCCCGGCCCTGGTTGGTCGTGCGGGATGCAGCCACTCGATGTGTCCCTTCACGTCGATGTTTTTCTCTCTCTCTCCCTCCCACTCTTTCTGTACAAAAAATTGAAAAATATCCTCGGGTGAGGATAAAAAAAATAAAAAAATAAAAAATAAGTATACTTGCCCTGGCCGGTTTGACTCAGCGGTTAGAGCGTCGGCCTGTGGTCCAGAGAGACCCGGGTTCAGTTCCCGCTAGGGGCGCGTACCTCAGTTGCAGTTTGTCCCGGGCCCTGGTTGGGTCTTGTGGGTGGTGATCAGTCGATGTGTCCCTTTCATGTCACTGTTTCTCTCTCTCTCTCCCTCCCTCCCACTCTATCTGAACAAAAAATGTCCTCGAGTGAGGATAAAAAAACAAAAAATAAGAATACTTGCCCTGGCCAGTTTTGCTCAGCGGTTAGAGCGTCGGCCTACGGTCTGGAGAGACCCGGGTTCAGTTCCCACTAAGGGCACGTACCTCAGTTGCAGTTTGTCCCCAGCCCTGGTTGGGTCTTGTGGGTGGTGACCAGTCGATGTGTCCCTTTCACGTCGCTGTTTCTCTCTCTCTTTCTCCCTCCCACTCCATCTAAACAAAATATTGAAAAATGTCCTCAGGTGAGGATAAAAATAAATAGATAAATAAATAAAAATAAGAGTACGATGCCCTGGCCGGTTTGGTTCAGCGGTTAGAGCATCGGCCTGCGATCCTGAGAGACCTGGGTTCGGTTCCCGCTAAGGGCACGTACCTCAGTTGCGGTTTGTCCCCGGCCCTGGTCGGTTGTGCGGGTGGCAGCCACTCGATGTGTTCCTTTCACGTCGATGTTTCTCTCTCTCTCTCTGTTCCTCTCTCCCTCCCACTCTACCTGAACAAAAAATGGAAAAATGTCCTCGTGTGAGGATAAAAAAAAAAAAGAGTACGATATTTAATGATAAAGGAGGTTTCCATTATTCTGGGATTAAAGTTAGATTGATTCAGCAACTTCTTTGAAAGTTTGTTGGTCTATTTGTAAAATAACTGAGTGAGAAATAAATGGAGAAAATAAAACAAAAAAATCAAAAGAGCTCATTCTGACACCCTTGCAAAATTTTCCCCTAGTTGCTATAGTACTATTTTGTATTATATAACTCTTTAAGTCTTCATTCTCCGTTATAATAGTAAAATAAATATAGAAAGATCAATTCTGGTCCGGCCGTTGTGGCTCAGTGGTTGAGCATCAACCCATGCAACAAGAAAGATCAATTTTGAGTTGAAAACATATTAGGGAACAGAGCCATTAAAAGTAATTACATGGTAGCCCTGGCCAGTTTGGCTCAGCAGGTGGAGCGTCAGCCCTCAGACCAAAGGATCATGGTTCCATTCCCAGTCAAGGGCACATACCTGGGTTGCAGGTTTGATCCCCAGTCCTATTTCAGGTACTGTGGGAGGTGACCAATTGATCACAGTGATGTTTCTCTCTCTCTCTACCTCCCCCTTCTACTCTATCTAAAAAAAAAAAAAATCAGTGGAAAAATATCCTTGGTGAAGATTAACAAAACAAAACAAAAATGCAATTACATGGTAAATTATTAGGGAGAACCTTGACTGGGTGCCTCAGTTGGTTGACCTGTATACCAAAAAAGTTGCAGGCTCAATTTCTGGTCAGGGCACGTACCTGTTTGTGGGTTCCATCCCCACTTGGGGCATGATTGGTGTTTCTCTCTCACATCTATCTCTACCCTCCAATCTAAAATCAATATACATATCCTTGGGTGGGGATAAAAAAAAGAAAGTTAGGCAGAGAATTATGTTCAGTTTATTAGGTTTCCCATCCCAACCTCAAATCCTATTAAAGAAAAGTTTTTTTTAAAATCCTCACCTAAGGATATCTTCCATTTTATCTTCACATAGTGTGGGAGGGGGAGGGAGAGGGAGAGAGGGAGACAGAGAGACAGAGAAACATGCATGTGAGAGAGGCACATCGATCGGTTGCCTCCCACACAACCCCAACCAGGGCCAGGGACTGAACCACAACCAAGGTACGTGCCTTTGACCAGAATCGAACCCATGACTCTGGTCTGAGAGCCAACGCTCTAATGGCTGAGCCAAACCAGTTAAAACCCATTTAAATTTTTAATTTATTTTTTTATCTTCACCTGAGGACATTTTTGCATTTATTTTCAGATACAGTGGGAGGGAGAAAGGGGAGATGCGAGAGAGAAACACTGATGTGAGAGAGAGACATCGACTGGTTGCCACCCTCACACAACCCCAACCAGGGCTGGGGACAAACTGCAACCAAGGTACCTGCCCTTAGCGGGAACTGAACCTGGGACTCTCTGGTCCGCAGGCGATGTTCTAACTGCTGAGCCAAACCTGCCAGGGTGACAATTAAATTTTATAAGTAGAGTTAAAGTAACTATTTTACAAATAGTTAATTAGTGTCCAGTACAGGTTTTAAACTTCAAAGAACACTCAGAGTTGAGCAGAGGTATTCTGGCTGTTAATAAATCTTCACCTTATCAGTAAGATTACAGAAAAAAATTACCTGAAGATGTTTGACTTTCAGGGACAAACTAGAGGCAATGTCCATAAGAATAAGACTAAAACCCAACTTCATTTCAATTGTAGTTTCTTATTACCCCATCGTAAAGGAGGTTAAGGAGATGAAATGGGACAGGCACAAACCTACCTTTTTCAAACTTAGAAAAGGCAACTGACTTGAGGCTGCACTGATGACCTTTGCATGTTCCAAGTAGCTCACCAGCTTTTACATCCCAAAATTTGGCCGACTGATCACCTGCTGCTGTAACCTTTAAAAAACATATTATCACAAATGAATAAGGCAACCCTTTACCAGTATCTACTCAGATCCCAATAAAATGAAAGTCACTTACAAGTTTAAGTTCACCTGGGACCCAGGCCAGGTCAAAGACAGCATTCCAGTGAGCCATCCATTCTAAACAAAGAAAATGGTGAATGTGAAATGTCTAGACTATGTTCTGTGGCAGTCATTTCAATAGCAGTTTAAATACATTGAAAGTTATAAGTGAAAAGATCAGTGGTCAGCACCCTATGGTCCATAGTCCAAAGAGCATTATAATGTAGAAGATTTAAAGAGTGATATAATACAAAACATCCCTATCATTACCACAAAGAACTAACATATGATATCAAATTCCTTTCCATGAGGTCGCCAGTAATACAGTCTCTAAAGTGAAATCTTTCTGAAATATCTTCCAGTTCAAAAATCTTCATCCTACTCTCTGAAGAGAGTCTAAATACTTTAGTTTGACACTCAAGGTTCATAGGCTTTGTCTTTTACTGTCTCTTTGTCCTTTACCTTTTACTTTTCTCTACGTATTGTATTCAAATGAAAATGAATTATTCCCTATTTCCTTATTACATCCTATTCTTTCTTATCTCCAGATCTTTGCTAATGTTTTCCCCTCAACCTGGAGTGTCCTATTCCATCTCTATTGGTCTAATACCACAGCCCAACTCAAATGTCCTATCCTTCATGAAAAATCTTCCTCCCCTCCTCTAGTACATGAGGGCTTTCTCTTTGACTTCTATAGCATTTTCTTCGTATGGCTACATCATTTATAGACTTTACTTTAGTTATTTCAACAGCTGACTTACTAGTTCCAAATAATTAGCTTCTTAAGGTCAGTAGAACTTTGTCTTATATATGAAAGATGCTTGGTCATTATAAATATTTTAAAACAATGTTTCCCACAATGACACTAAGTGTTAAAGATTTAGCCTTTTTAAAAGGAGAACTGTTTTTAAGCCTAAAATGTATTTTCCTTAATTTTAGTAAAGTCATTGCTATAGTTAACATTTGCTGAGAGAAACAGCCTGGTCCTTAAAGAGACTTAATTAGAAGTGAATATAATTGAGAATATAGTCAAATAATAATTTACTCAAGGCTTTATGAATTAGAAACGTTATAACAAAAATTTTAGACCTAGACTTACCTTTAACACACTTCTTTCTATAGGATTGTGATTCTGTGTTATATAATCTAACAAAGCCTTCTTCATTGGCAACTGCTAGTATATGCTTCATATTGGGAGCTAAATAAAAAACAAAGAATAGAATATATAAAGAGTAACAAAAATTTTAGAACTGACTATAACGCCATAAAAATATATATATATATATACACACACACACATATATATATATATCTCCTATATGTAACATACATTAATTGAAAGCTACTTGGTAAACACAAATAATCTGTTTGAAAAGAGAGAAGATGATTCTACCCAAATGGCATCTGATATGGTAGAGAGGTAATTTGAACCAAAAATTGCTTAAAATTTGCCATGTTATCTAATTCAGTAAATGACTCAAAAACACCAAAATTATCTTCAGATAACCTCTTATTTAGAGAATGGGTGAAGAAAGGATGATACTTAAACAAATAAGAGTAGCACTGGCCAATGGAAAATAAAGATATATGATACAGGCCACCAGCAGGCTGAGTCTATTAGTTTAAAATTCCCTTTTCACAATCTTTTACTTTTCCTGTTTTAGAAAATTAACAGTGGTAACAAGTATTTCTATTTCTGTTCGTTCCCCGATGTATTCCAGAAAGATAGATTCCATCAGATTAAAAGTAGTATCTACTGGGCAAAACAATTTTCATGATGGCTGAACCTTCGCAACCCTTTCCCTCTATCAGTTTTTTAAAAAGTGCTATAATGTGCCCAGCTGGTGTGGCTCAGTGGATTGAGCGTCATCCCATGGACTGAGAGAACCCAGTTTGATTCCAGGTCAGGGGCCTGGGGTTGCAGGCTTGATCCCTATCTGGGGGCATGCAGGAGGCCACCAATTGATGTTTCCTCTCTCACATGGATGTTTCTATCTCTCTCTCCCTTCCTCTCTCTCTTAAAAAAAAAGTGCTAATGGTCCTATGCTTTAGAGAAAATATATAATTATGCATAGAGATTATGAAAAGTCTACTTCATAAATCAGGAATAACAGTTCTTAGAAAAACTCTAACACCTATCTTTTTTTTAAAGGGAGACACCTCTGTATATATTTCCTGTATATTTTACCTAGCTAGATGGTAATTTTCTTACCAGAAGAGAAAGTGCATCCAAAAGGGGGAACTGGGACTCCTGTTTCTCCATAAGAAGTGTGTTCATCATTAGAGTTGCACTGATAACCAGTTAGAAGGGACTGAAGAGGGTATTGTGAAGACCATCCTAAAATAAGATATAATTCCTTATAGAATTCCAATATATCATCACATTTCAGTACTTTTAACAAATGCAGAGAAAAACATGTTTTAAAAAGCTTTATGTACTTAATATAGATCTACTCACTATCTATGGTCCTCTAGAATACAGTTTCTGGTATTTTCCTAAGGAAAAATGAAAGAGCACTCCCAAATTCTGATAAGAGATAGCTTGGGGCTTACCATCTAGAGCAGTTCTCAATCTGTGGGTCGCGACCCCTTTGGGGGTTAAACGACCCTTTCACAGGGGTCGCCTAAGACCAATGGAAAACACATATTTCCGATGGCCTTAGGAACCAAGACATCGCCAGGCGGGTCCGCCCACATGCAGATATGCCCACATACAACATGAGTAACTGTATTAAAGGGTTGAGGCATTAGGGAGGTTGAGAACCACTGATCTAGAGACTCTTGCTAGTACATGTAAGATTGTAAAACACAAGTGGCCTTTGCATATTAAAAAAGATCTTACCTCTTCCCCATTCCTGTGGTGACAACCACAACCATTAAAACTGTGTTTAGAGTTTCTAATGCAACATCACTGTAAACCTGTAAATTACTAGTGACATCATATATAATCCAATGGTCATAGAGTCAAAGGAAATAATTTATGTCAACGTGCCTACATTAGCAACTAACATATTCACAAGTTGATTACTAGTTTCACGTCTTCCTTCCTTTCCACTGCTGAAATTCTAGGATTCTAAAATGTTAATAGTGCTCTGACCGCTTTGGCACAGCAACTGTTGGCCTGCTGACTGAAGGGTGGCAGGTTCAATCCCTGGCCCCAGTCAGGGTCATACAGGAGGTAACCAATCAATATCTCTCTCTCACATCAATGTTTCTCTGTCTCTCTCTCTTTCTCTCTCTCCCTTCCTATCTAAAAAAAATAATGGAAAAATCCTCAGGTGAGAATTAACAAAAATGAAATGTTAATAGCCACAAGTCATAGTATTTTGAAGTATATTAATTTTAAAGTAAAGCGTTACGTACCTACCCCTAGAGTATAGGCAGTTAGCCCTGGCCAGTAGTAGTAGGGTCAAGGAAATCTTTAGAATAGGTGAAATCAAACACAAATCTTGAAAGATGAGTAAGTTTTCATTGAATATACAAGAGGGGAAGAAATTCAGGGTGGAGGGAAAGTTTATTCTGCTTGCATCAGAAACCTAATGTGCACTATGGTCTAAAAAGTAAACCACCTTCAAAGACATATCATTTTTATATGTGGGTCAAAATATTTTAAGTATATAAAAATAACATTGATTCAATAAATAGTTGAGAGCTAGATGTTTATTAAGTATAGGAGGAAACAATGAATTTACAATCTACTGAGAGCTGTCTAAATAATTATCAAACTCTCACATTTTAGGGTATCAATTCTCACTTTTCATCAAAAAAAAAAAAAACCCATAAAAAACCCACAAAACTGTTTGGAGGGAGGCAACCAATTGATGTGTCTCTCTCACATTGATGTTTCTCCCTCTCTCTCCCTCCCTTCCACTCTATCTAAAAATCAATGGAAAAATATCCTTGGGTGAGGAGTAACAAAAAATAAAAATAAAAAACTGGAGAAAACATCTTAGCCTGACAAAACCTCAGATGTTCATAGAGATAACCTGAAGAAATCAGTACAAAGGAGACAAAGAAATTCAATCCAGATGTAATAATTATTCCTGAGGGTATATTACCTCAAGGTGAGAAAGATATCATTATAAATCAGCCTTAATTAAAGACCACTAAAAGAGTACAATAATTAGTTATGTTGTTGAGTTAAAAAAATAACCATCCACAGAAAGTCTAGGTCTAAAAACAAAAGGCTCTGTTCTAAAGTCATATAAATGTACCCTGGCCGGTTTGGCTCAGAGCTTAGAGTATCAGCCCTCAGACCAAAGAGTCTGGGATTCGATTCCCATCAAGGGCACGTACCTCGGTTGCTGTTCAATACCCGGCCCTGATCGGGTTGGGCAAGAGGCAACCAGTCGATGTCTCTCTCTCACATAAATGTTTCTCTCTCTCTCTCTCTCTGAAGATAAATGGAAAAATATCCTTGAGTAAAGATTAAAAAAAAAAGATTATCCAGCCCTGGCCAGTGTGGCTCAGCAGTTGGAGCACTGGACTGTGGACCAGAGTTCTGGGTTCAGTTCCCGCTAGGGGCACGCACCGAAAAAAAAAAAAAAAGATTATCCTAAATTTATATAAATGTACACTTGTGGTTTAGGATTTAAAAAAAAAAATCTAATGACTTCACCCATGTTCAAAAGAACTGAATCTTGAACAATTTAGGTATAGCTGAAGATGATATGTATGCTATGGAGACCTACTTGTTTACAATTAAACAGTGACCCCATCAACTCTGCCTCATAACCTACAGACTAATGTCCAAACACTAACAGATGGCCTAACATGACTTAGTAACTAGTCCTCTCCATTTCCACACTCCCCACAACACACATTTACTTCTTGGACCAGCCCCTTAAACTATTTTTGGATTTTTATTGTTACTCTGTTCCCAGCATGAACTTATAATGCTTTCCCCAATAACACTCATTTGAAAAGCCTATCATATACCCAAAGTACAACTTAAAATTACATGCAAACTTTTCTTTTTATCCTCATCCGAGGACATTTTTCCATTTTTTGTTCAGATAGAGTGGGAAGAAGAGAGAGAGAAACATCGACATGAAAGGGACACATAGAGTGGTTGCCATCCACATGACCCAACCAGGGCCAGGGACAAACCGCAATCGAGGTACGTGCCCTTATCGGAACCGAACCTGGGTCTCTCTTAACCGCAGGCCGACACTCTAACCACTGAGCCAAACCGGCCAGGGCCACGCAGACTTTTCAAGGAGTATCTGAGGACATGAGAGTTTTCAGAGAATCATTTCCCTGATACTCAAATTCCATGTATATGCATTTCTAAAACTGATCTGCCTGAAAAGGTTGAGGCTCTCTTCTTTCTCCTTTCTTCATTACTGCCTTTCTTCCACTTTTAAAAGAAAGGCATTTCCATGCCCCAATTTATACCTTGCATTAATTAACCCAAGGTATGAAAACTTCTGGGACCCCAAATGAAAGACAACTGAATACTACCTTTAATAAAGGCATCATAAACACCCAAATTCACTACTTGAAAAGATATACTTCCAATAAAATTTTACTTTTTGCTTAGTTACTATTTATAAAAATAATCTATAGTCTTTATTAATTGCATACTAATAATTGCAATGACAAGTCAATCCAGAAGAACTTTTAATACTTAGAGACTTACAATCACAGATATCAATTTAAATATATTTTTTTTACACAGAGGAGTATGATAGGGTGATCAATCAACTTTTGAAGCTTAAAATAAAATTACATTAGCATAAATTCTGTGGGAGAAATCGTGGAAATAAATTCAAGAGATAAAAGCAACTATGTAGAGTATCTAACAGTTAAAATAGTTCATATATTTAAAAAATATTGTTGTGGCTATCAAATCACTATAGAATTTACATTCTATTATATACACTTTTAAAGACTAATGTAGTATTTTTATTTTAAAATGTCAATATTCACAATATGGCCAGAAATTAAAGCCTATATATTTGTTTAAACTTATGATAAAAACTTTAGATACCAATTCAAAAACACACAGACGAGTAATCAGATTTCCATGTTAGAAAGATCAGTGGCAGCAATGTGGAGAATAAACTGGAGAGAGGGAAACTAAGAGGTCACTCGAGATACCTGTTATAGTCCAGACCAGAAGGTATCAGGGCCCAACCTAAGGAAATGGAATGGTAAAACTAGAACAGATCCAAAATATGGGGAAGAGGCAAAATCAGTGGGGAAAGAGAGGAACAGAAGTCAAGAGATTCTAAGGAAATTTTCTGCATGTGTATCTTAAGGAAAATGGAGAAATTTTTATTGACTCAGGTTTTCTGGGAAGATTAGTCTGAAAGAACAAAACTACTGCCAAAAATATGTAATATAGCAAGTTTAGGAGAAGAGTGAGTTCAGTTTGGGTGTTAGAGTTTGAGATGCCTGTGGCACTGACCATCTGGGTAAAGATACTCATACAACTTTTATATGACTGGATAAACACGTCTAAGGGAAGGAAGGTTGCAGGTAGCAGCAAAAGAAGCCCTGGTTAAGGCTATGATCATCAATGGGAGTAGATGCAAGGAGAAAACAGTCCTCTGATGGAACTAACAAGGAAGGGGAAAGGAGGAGATGGTCCTATGATGTTCAGGGCATAATATATAAGAATGAATGAATTTTAGAGTCTAACACATAACAGTGAGTGTAAATTATGAATGAGAGAGAGAGAGAAAGAGAGGATAGACTGGAGAATTAGGAGAAAATGTGTTACAAAATCAAGGCTAAATAGCTTGCCCCAGGTCACAAAGCTGGTAAGGAGAGGAGCTGGATTTAAAACTGTGGCATTAAAAAACAACAACAAAATACTCAGGCATTTACAGCTCTTAACAACTGTGTTGGACTGCCATTAATGACACAGATAGAGAAGTTACTCAACCAAGGTCCCAGTAGAGACAGAAAGAATATTTAAAGCATTATTTAAAAGATTATCTAAGAGGAAAGTAGGTAAGGATGGTATAAACATTTAGCTTAGGGGCAGAAAGCTGCAGGACTGCTCAGTCTCCTTCTCAGTATCCTTTTCCTAGACGAGTGATTTCCAACCTTTTTTATCTCATGGCACACATAAACTAATTACTAAAATTCTGTAGCACACCAAAAAATATTTTGCCGACCTGACCAAAAAAAAAAATAGGTATAATTTTGATTTATTCACATCGGGTGGCTACTGTTGTGTTTGCTGTCCTCATTTTCTTCTTTGACAATCCAAGGGAAAAAAGGTCAGTGCTCCTACTAGTCAGGTATTGCATATTTAAAAAATTTTTGAGGCACATTGGTTGAAAATCGCTGTCCTAGACTATGCCTTAAATA